TTTGGTTTTTCTCCGGTACCGGGAACCGAACTCACGACCTTGCGCTTGCCAGGCAGGCGCTTTTGCCGCTGAGCTAAATCCCCAGCCCCATCTTTTTATTTTTTAAAACAGTTTTTCCTTAGTCTCTTCAGTTAGTTACCATATAATCCCTAGTTTCTTCACTGTTTTGATCACATTCTTTTGAACATTTATTTTTGCTAATCACTAACAGTGTGTCAGAAAAGGTCCTTCTGCGTCTGCACACGTAGGTATGTTTGTGCTGCAGTGAGGATAGAGCTTGTGTTAGTTTACAAGGGCGGTCATAGTGAAGTGTCACAGATTGGGTGGCTCACACAGCAGCCATTTCTTTTCTCATCGTTCTGGATACTGGAAGTCTGAAATCCGGTGTTTGACCTCTTGGCTTGCACACAGCCACCCTCACGTTGTGCTTAACAAAATTAGTATACATTATGTTGGTCTTCCTTCTGTACCTGTGTATCCTTGGTGTGCTCAGATTTAAGGATCACAGGCTAGATTGGAGACTACCCACAGGACCTCGTCAGCCTTCCCTGCCTTTACAATCACCATGTATTGTCATAATCTGAAATACTGCAGACTAAACTTCAACATATAAATTTTTGGAGGATACAAGTCAACCCATAATAGGCTCCATTACACATGTGTACCTTTAAGCTGTCAAGTAAAGACTTCTAGGTTAAAGATTGCTTGTTTTAGTAAATTAGTCTGTTTAGAAAGGATTTCAAATGAGAAGTCTTGATCTAGCTTTTGTTTGTCTGTAGTTTTTTGTTTTTTGTTTTTTTTTTTTTTTTTTTTTGGTGGTACTGAGGATTGAACTCATGACCTCCCACTTGCCAGGCGGGGGCTGTGCCACTGAGCTATATTCCTGGCTCCATGTCTATAGTTCTTTTAATGTCCAAAATATCAACAGTATTATAAACTACCTATAGCAGTTCCCAAGGAATTTTAAGTCTGCTTGTGGGAGATATAGATACATACACACCTGTAAGTTTAATAACAATGAGGTATCAAAATATATAGTTAATTGTTACATAAGCCAAAACCATAGTATCCCAACTTGCATTTTGGAGAATTCTAGTGTTTTCAAAAATGTTGATTGGTTTTCACTGAAATAAATGTTCTGTGATCACAGAAATTGCAGAATTGCTGGGTTAATTTGTCTTTGGATATTTAGAACTTCTCAGAGGTCTTAAAATGCTAATATACTTTGTGATTCTGGAAGAGTGAGATACATTGTATACGATAGTCACAAACTTACCAGGTCATTTACTGATACCTTGAAGCATGCTAATGTTCCTTCCTCCACATTTTGGAAAATTGTAAATAACAAGTGTTACAAGTTCAGACTAGTACAAGTAGTGCAAGATTGGTCTGGGGAAGATACATGCTTGACACTTGAACTTGGCCATGAATTACATGTATAGTATTTGAATAGACAGAAGCGAGTAGACAAGCTGACTGGGAGAAGCAAAGATTTTCAGGTAGAAAATTGGGGCAAGATCAAAAAAGTTACATGAGCTAATATTGAAACAGTAACAGGTCTTTCGGTGGGAGGCATTGGAAGCTAGATGATCATCAGCCATTCGTGTGTATAATTACTCAATAGATATTGAATATATAAGAGGCTTTGAAGATGTTGGATTTATTGAATTGGGAGAAGGACATATCTATATAGAATAATAAATCTGTTAGGTTCCAGTTGCATAGCCCTACTAGTAAGTGGTTCCGAGGAGGGAGTGATTTCTGTTGCAGGTTTACTTGTGTAGTGACTAATTTGAGGGATACTCATATTTGAGGATACTTGTCTTTTGAGTAATTTAGGTAAGAAGATAACTTTGATTACTTTCTGAGAGAGTGAGGAGCAAGAAAGAGGTTTCAGAAGGGGTTGGGGACTTTGCATGGGTAGAGAAAATTTATAATAACCAACTGGGTTCTTATCATACTAGTTGTTTGAGGAAGGGCAGGAAAGAAGTGAAGTTAATTGAGAGGGTAGCCATAGATCAAGAGAACAAAAATAATATACATTATGTTCAGGGGCTTGCAGCTATGTACGTAGCATGTAGGTAACACACTCTTCACTTTACCATTGAGGAGATAGGCGTGGAATGGTAAAACTAAATTTGCTCAAACTCTAATAGGGCTTATACCTAGATCCATGTGATTTCCTGAACTCATTGTCAACCAGATTAAGTCATGCTGGGTGGCTGTGGCGGAGTGCCCTGGCTCGCAGAATCTGGGCTATTTTGTAAGAGTAGAGCTGAAGCAACTGAGTATTCAAGTCAGGTTGGGTGGTGAGGACAATCGTGTTGTTGGGTGGAGGCTAAAGGATTCAGTGAAATACATTCTTTTATTTCATTTGGTTTCTTAGTGTTGCTCAATTTTCCTAAGTATTGTTTGAAACATTGTACTTTCTTGTTAGTAAGCTCCTTTATTGTTGAAACAGACCTTTCTATTTAGATAGATTGTGAAGGCATATTTCGGTCCAGTAAACTTCCATTCCATGGTGTCTTCATTCACTTCCTTAGTGATGTGTTTCCCTGCATCATTCAGCTTTTCAAATCTACCTCTGTCCTTTCTCTCCATGAAGTATTCCGGGTTAGTTTTGGTTGAAAAAAGTCACTTCAGGAATGCCATCAAAATGTCTTCAGAATTTGTGTATGTGTGGTTGTGTTAATATTTGATGACAAGTTCAATATTTCTGATGCAATTTTAATACAAATGACCTTTTCTCTTTTTATTAGGTTCGTATAGTTGCTGGATGTGGACTATATTTTATATACCTGTAGCCCTTAGTATGGCTTAGAAAGTGCACACTTTAGTATCACTAGGCTGCAAATTTGGAAGAAACAAGTGCTCTGCATTTTCCTAGATTCAAGACAATGTATCATACAAGTAGTCAGTATTCTTCTTTGGCTTAACTCTTTACGTTGACATCAGTGTATTTTAAGTTTCTGAAATACCTTTTTTAGGATCTTTCTAATCTCTTACAGATGTTTCTTTTCACTACCTGCAGGTGTAGGAATACAGTTTAGAATAATTCAGAAGTGCTTAGTGGCTCAGTGAGAAAGAAGGAAAATGAATAATTATATATAATTACTTCTTTTTTAAATTTTGAAAATTGAAGGTAAATCTGTTGTTTTAAAAATTTGAGGTTTTGGCAAATGTCATCCTTTTTATGTGCCTGTCTTATATTTTGTTTTAATTTAGATGGAAAACAGGTAAGGAACAATCTGAAATTTGGTTCGTGAAGAAGATAGAAGTGGTGACTGGTAAAAGGTAAGTGTCTAGAATGTTAAATAATAAGCAATTAGTCTGGTTTTTCTTAATGATTGCTGTTACTGGTTTCTGTCAGAAAAAAGGTTTGCTGGTATAGGTTTTTACCTTTAGATCTTTGGTATTAGGTTTAAAGATATTTTTTTCTGAGCTGTAATTACCTTCCACCATTTCTACTTGTTACTGCCATTGCTTTTGCTTTGTAGAATCTTTGTGCACACATAACAGGATATAGCCTAAGTTTGTATAGCTTCACCTAGGGACTTTAGAACTGATCAGTTCATTTACTAATAGTTGGTAGGTCTGAGAGATATCTTTGCCTTTTGTGTGTGACTGTCTCTTTTTTTCCTCAGTTCTAGGGATTGAACTCAGCGAGTGCTAAGTGATGTCCCCCACCTTTTTCATTTTTTTTAAATTTTGAGACAGGATCTTGCTAAGTTGTCCAGGCTATCCTTAAACTTGTAGGGGCTGGGGATTTAGCTCAGCACCACAGCACCTGCCTGGCAAGCGCGAGGTCGTGAGTTCAATTCCCGGTACCCAAAAAATTAAAATAAATAAATAAATAAATAAATAATTAAAAAAACTTGTGATCTTCTTGGTTCAGCCTCCTAAATAGCTGGTATTATGGGTGTGCATCACCATGCCAGTTCTATTCTTCTTAAATATAGTTGTTACTTTTTATGCTTAATTTATGTTGGATAAAAGTGCTTTACAGGTAGTAGGTATTTTTTTAATTTTAAAGAGACTAGTAAAAAAAGAAAAAGAGAACAGTAGCAAGATACCACAACAAATCAAAGCAAGAACATTAAAAATGATACAGGGTTTCAAACCAAATGATACGAATTAACAGTTGCTATTATATTACATGTTGTTATCTTCAACAAAGTTGCTCAGATTACCAGGTGTAAGAATGGAAGATTGATCAAACCATTAAAGTGAATAAAGAATAATAAAAAAAATTAGAAATGATGCAGAGCTTCACTAGACAAGGAATTCCACCAATGGTTGTTCCATTGCATATTGTTGTCTTCATATCAGTTGCTCAGATTACCAGATATAAGCATGCAGAATTGGTCAAAATATAAAAAAAGTAAGCATTAACTGTTCCTTTCAATAAACCACCAGACATCAGCAGTACAGTTATCCCAGCTATCCATATATATATATATATATATATTTTTTTGCCTTAGTTTTTTCTTTCCTTTTCTTCTTTCCCTCATCCCAGTTATAGTAGGAAATTTTTCATTGCATGAAAATCTGCAAAATTGTTTTTTTTTTTTTTTTTTTGTTTTGTTTTTTCTCCAGTACTGGGAACTGAACTCATGACCTTGTGCTTGCCAGGCAGGCGCTTTTGCTGCTGAGCTAAATCCCCAGCCCCTGATAATCTGCAAAATTGAATACCCTTATTTTTAAAAATTCCGTTGCAAGGAGAGGTATTGGGAGAAAATATTTGTAGAAGTATTGTAGGAGAATATTAAAGACTATTACAAGAGAGTGAAATTTTCCTTTGATGTGTTGAAAATGCTTAGAATCTAGGTAAGTATACTAAATAGAAGATACAGGGTTTCATGGGATCATTTTGGGTAGTAGGTTGTTCATAAAAGGAGATGGATTGGAAAGATACCCAGGAGATAGTTAGTTCTCAAAGGTTTACTCAAAAAATTAATGAATGAACCTCCCCCTTTCCCCTTGCAAAAAGAGAAGTCATTTTCAGAGATTAAAAAGGACAGATTTTTTTTTACTGGTACATTTTAGATATATGTAGTGATAGCATTCATCACAGGGAATTTGTACCTGTACATGACATATCTGGCTTCTTTTTTCCCCATTCCTGCCCCTCCTTCAACCCCTTTCTCTCCTTATTTACAAAAGCTTGGTTTCCATTTTTTTCCTTTTATTCTCTTTTTTTTTCCCTGAAAGAACGAATAATTTGGCCTTTAAAAAAAATTAACCTCCTGAACCTTATATGCATACATATGTTTTGTGTGTATACATACATGTACATGCATGTTACATGAAGGGAAAGGCCTCAATGCTAGCACATCACATCAAATGAAGAAAGAATGGGAGGAGAAAAACAGTGGATTGTACTGTAGACCAAGAACTGTAATTACAGTGGGGAATTAAGAATATAGAAGGATGTTGACTTCATTTTTTGTTTCTTTATTTTAATTAGTTTACATGATCTATAATGATTACATTTGCTTTGGGAACTGGTACATATGCACACACCATATCTTGATCCTTTCCCTCACCTCTTCCAGCTCTTCCATCCCCAGATTCCCTGGAAAGATATTGAATCCTAGAATTGGTTACCAAAAGAAAATAGAGTTTGTTTCTAGTAGTCTTTAAAAATAACCTACTTATTGTCTAAATCCAACCTGTTTGTCTGACTTTTAAGATTCATAATCTTAGGCTTTGCATTATTTACCCTATTTGTCCTCCTCTTCCTTCTTCTCCTTCTTCCTCCTCTTCCTCTTTTTCCTCTTCCTCCCTCCTCTTCCCCCTTTTTTTTCTAAATCCCTTATGCACCATTCAACCTCTTTCTTTTTTTTTTTTTTTTTAGTTTGGTTTTTCTCCGGTACTGGGAACTGAACTCACGACCTTGCGCTTGCCAGGCAGATGCTTTTGCCACTGAGCTAAATCCCCAGCCCTCAACCTCTTTCTTTTTTTTCATGGTTTATTAACTTGCCACATTCATGTCTGTCTCTCTGCCTTTGCTAGTACAATTATGTCTGACTGGATACATTTTTTCTTTTTTCCCTCCTTTTTTCTTTTGCTGATACTAGGGATTAAATCCAGGACATTTTCACTGAACTACATTGTTAGCCCTTTACAGTTTTTTTAAAATTTTGAGATAGGGTCTTGTTAAGTCACCACAGTTGCCCAGGCTGGGCTGACACTTGCGATCATCCTGCCTCAATCTCCGAAAGTGCTGGGATTATAGGTGTGCACCACCATGTCCAGCTTTCCCGTCTACTTTAATTCCTGCATTTTCCCATGAATGGGCATTAATTAATTTACACCACACGCTTTTCTTCACTGAATTCCTATTGTGCTTCTACTTATTATCCATTTGACTTTTCGTTCTCTAGTGACTCATATATCTTAGGTCTTTCTCTTGATGTACTTGATATTCTTTAGAACAGGGATCTTCTTTTATATTTTGTGTCATGTACAATGAATAGGTTGGGGGCTCCTTGGAGTTTTAACGATTAGTTCTATCTTGTATATGTTTGCTCCCACTTAAATACCAGGTCATAGAACAGATTGTGACTTCACCCTGGAGAGGTTGTAGTCTTCTGTTTGTTTTTATTTGGTCTCATTGTGAAACTTTTTTTCTTTTTTAACTTGGACAACTCTTGGGTTTTCACCTGAATATCTTGTTTTTCCTTCTTTACTCTATAGATCCATTATAATCAACACTGATGTTCTTTTTAGTGCAGGTCATTTTCCTGAAGGAAACCGGCTTGAGGAAATTGACATGAAATCAATATTAAAGTTTATTACCTACTCCCATCACAATCTGTAGTCTACAAAAGAACTTCTCAGGAGTTCACCTGTAAAGCAATACGAAGATAATTTCAAGTAAGTAGTAGATTCTAAGATAAGAGCACATGAATTATGTTGTTTTAAATTACAGTGTATCATAACTAGGCATAAAATTACTCTTCTGCCTATTTGGGATCTTGCTTCTGGCTATAGATAAATTAATTTTATGGTATCTTGATTTTTATATTATTTTTGAATGTTAACATTCTTTAAGTCAAAAAGATTCTTTAAAAATCTCTAGCTTCACACCAGGCAGGGTGGCACACACCTATAACCCCAGCACTTGGGAGGCTGAGGCAGGAGGATTGCTGTGAGTTAGAGGCCAACCTAGGTTACAAAGTGAGTTTAAGGTTAACTTGAACTGCGTAGCCAAACCTGACCTCAAAAAGATACACACACAAAAAAAATCCCCAAAAAACAACCCCACAAAAATCCTGCCTGCATGGAACTCTAAGGAAGATAAATGAGTAGTATGTGTAATGTATTAGATGTGATAAATGCTTTGAAGAAAAGTGAAGCAAAGTAAGAGCTTAAGGGATTATGCAGTGGTTGAGAGTAGGGGGAATAGAAAGATTAAAGTCTTAACTAGTGTGTCCAGTGAAGTGACATTTGAGTAAGTATCTGAAGGGATACAGGAATAAGCTGTGGGTACAGTGTGGGGAAGAGTTTCCAGATAGAAGGAATGCTGGGTGTCTTTTTCAGATGATTATGTTTGGTGGAACTCTTGTTAGGTAGATGTTATTATAAATTGTTCACTCATGCTTTTTGCCTTGACAGAATGTCCAGCAAAGAGGTGAAGACTGCTCTAAAAAGTGCAAGAGATGCAATCAGAAATAAAGAATACAAAGAAGCTTTGAAACATTGTAAGGTAATGGATTCTTGTTTCTGCCACGATAAAAGTATATTACCCATTTATAAGCATTATTGTAAGATGTGAATCATTTTCTGTCCACATTCAACAAAAGTGCTAAGACCATTCTGTAGAACCGTTAGAATATGTTGACATTCTAATTCTATTTGGTTTGTGGTTGGGAGAATCAAGATTCTAGAGCTCCTTTATGTATTGATGGGACTGTTCTGTGAGAGAGAGAAATTGAATGTGCAGGAGAGATTCAGGTTAGTGGTAGATCAAAGTCCTCAGAAAGGTAAGAGAGGTTGAGATCCAGAGCTTGGCGGGAGAGCCTCTAACCCTTCTTCTGTCTTAGCAAGAAGAAGTTAAGCACAGATCCGCACTGTAAGATTTATATGTTTGCTGGTGGGGAGATAAGAGCATTCTTCTCCGATGGCTTTTGTTTTCTTGATGAACTCCAAACTGATAGTAGGAGACGACTTACATAGGAGGTTTGAAACAAAAGAAATGCAAAGCAGTTGTTATTTATAGGAAGAAAACAAACTTACTAGGAAGAATTCAGATTACTAGACCCTGGTGAAGTTTGAAGTTTCGTGTTATTAAGGTAAAGCCAGTGAACCCAGCGGTATTTTTCTCGCTTCATACTGGGTGTCTCAGGATTGGAGATGGAAATCATGACGTCCAGCTGTGAATGGTGAGGGCACGAGAAGAGTTGAGTATGTGGTGACAAGGGAGTGATGACAGTGATGGTTGTGCAGTCTAAGCTGAGTAAGGAGAGATGAGGAAGAGTAAGAGACGTGTGATGGGAGGAAGGAGAAGTCAGAGCGTGAACAGCCTCATTTCTAGGTAAACTTTATTACAGTTCAAAGAAAGCTTGAAAATCGGGAGGGAACTTGGTTGATTCAGGCTGGGAATTTCAAAGGAGAGCAGTAGAGAGGGAACTGGGCAAGAGCAGGGGAAACACACAGTAATACAAGAATGAGAACGTAAGGGAGAAAGGGTGCCCTTGTGCAGTTCATTGCCAGCAGGGGTTGCGGCCCTGAGATACTAATCCTGAGGTAGGCTGACAGTGTGAGGTCTGTTCAGCCTGGGCCTGGTGGGAGCTGAACTGAGAGGAGAGAGACCATTTCCTTCAGTGCTAGGTGGGTCTACCTAAAAATACATCTGTTTCTGTATTATGTACAGCAGCACCAGAGTGGCCTTCTTTCTGGTGGTTTTCTGCAAAATTCAGATTTGAGTTTCACCAAATGCATAATCTTTACTGGAAACACCCAGCTGGAGACCACAGAGAACAAATCAGTGGCACATTTCTGATTACTTATCTCTAGTGACCCAGAACACTGATTGAGACTAAATGAATTTTTTAATAAAGACTTCTTTCCTCAGTGCATTTGCAGGGGTTTTGTGTGGTCCTTGTTTCCTTGCGGGACTTTATAACATGGCGTAAGCATCCCTTTTTGACGGTTTTCTCTGGTTTGTGCGGAGGGGGTTAGATACTTCTTTCTCTGTGTTCTCTCAGAATGTCATAGCTGTTTCCACCACGTTGTTGTAATTATTGCCTTAAAAACCTGTTTCAGATTCTGAAAATTTGGTCATCAGTGAAATAGTAATTACTGCCTGCTGGTTGAGTGTGAAGTTATCTTCAGCAGTAGGTGCCAGCCGTTGTACTTGGTGCTGGGAACATGAGTATGACGAAGGCCTCCCATCTAAAACTTAACTTTGGAAGTTGGGTCCTGGTTGCGGTTTTGGGAGGCAGCATTGTTGCACAGAATGGAACTTATGCTTACATTGATGGTGGATTGCTAGAAGTGTGATGGGGATGCACCTAAGCCTAATAATTTGACTGGTTCAATTCATGGAAACGTTTTTATTTTCTTCAGAATATATAAAACCTTAGGAGGCTAATTTCATTTTAGCTTCTAATTTTGTTTATCTTTCTCTAGAACATATTTACTTTCTGCTTCAGGACGTTTTACTTTACCTTAGCAAGTAGCTGTTGTTTCTGAAAGCAGTATCTTTATATGTAATTTTAGATTTAGGTAGCAGGTGTTAATATAAGCATTCATCACCACTGTTTGTTTTGAACATATTTGGTGTGGTCACATGGTGGTGAATTTACTCTCCTAGTGTATAATTTCCATGAAAAATCCATGTGCCTGGTATGGGGAAACATTATCAGGGGAGAGGAAAATATTAAGTTGGATGGAATAAAACGAGATTTGAGAAGAGTTTTATGAGTTGGTCAGTAGCACAGTGGAGCCAGGAGAGGTGGTTTAAATTGCTGTTCTTTAGTATTCTCAGAGAGCAGAAGGTGGCAGTTGGTTAAGGCATCAGAATCAGTTGGGTAGGGGCCTGGGGATTTAGCTCAGCGGCACAGCACCTGCCTGGCAAGCGCAAGGTTGTGAGTTCGATTCCCGGTACTGGAAAAAAACCAAACATAAATAAATAAATAAATAAATAAGAATCAGTTGGGTAGCTTTTAAAAATACATATATCTCATGTTACAAACTGCTTTAGTCACTGGTGGGATCCAGTGCCTTCTCTCCCTGAGGGATCAGAACCAGAGAAATTAAGTAGCATTCTGAAGGTTACCTCGTTAGTGGTAAATTCAGCTGTTTTGACTCTTAATAAACTGTTGTTGTGTTGTTTGTTCAGTAGTTTCCAAAATTTAATCACTCGCTCTTAATTTTTCTTAATCAGACAGTGTTAAAACAAGAGAAAAATAACTATAATGCCTGGGTTTTTATTGGTGTTGCTGCAGCTGAGCTAGAACAACCTGATCAGGCCCAGGGTGCCTATAAGAAAGCGGTGGAACTAGAGCCAGACCAACTACTAGCCTGGCAGGTATGGAGACACATTTCTTCTCTTTATCATGGGAAGCCTTTTTTTTTTTCAAAATATAGGTTACAGTATTAAAATAAGCATTTAAATCTCCATTTGACTCAAATAAGAAAAAAAATTATTTATCTTGTAAACCTCATTAGCTTTTTTAAAGAGTAGTGCCAAAAATGTTATTGCTGTTTAACATTCTACTCAATTGGATTATTTCTAGATGTGAGGACTCAAGTTGAAACATGGATATAAATCCCCTATTTAATTAAATGTGCATATAGAAGAATTTTCCAGAACATTCTTTTTGCTTACTTGGGATAGAAAGAAATATATATTCATATGTTTTCTAAGAATAAAATAGTATATAAAAATTTCAATTCTCTTTGAGTACAACCTAAATACTTTTTTCTTTACTTATTGGTCTTAATATTTTTTCGTTGGATTTTCTAGCTTTTTAATGTTTAATAGATTTAATGTATTTCATGTCAGTCACATCTTCGAAACTATGCATAATTAGTAGGAGGTGTGAACTGGCAAGTGTGAATGTATTCGTCTCAGTTCACATGAATAAGAACTTGAGTGAGCATATCTGCTACAGATGTAGAGTGATGACTACTTTTATAGTTTATCGATCACTTGAGGATACATGGTCTTTATGTGAAGCATATACATAAGAATAGTAACTAAAGACAATGGTAATTGTGTGGAGGTAAACGCTGTATTAACTAGTTTGACGGTGGTGCATACTTCAGTGTGTGCACCTATCAAAACATCAAGCTAGGGGCTGGGGATTTAGCTCAGCGGCACCGCGCCTGCCTGGCAAGCGTGACATCGTGAGTTCGATTCCTGGTACTAGAAAAAACCCCCCCCAAAAAAAAAAATCAACCTATACATCTTCAATATATGTAATTTTTATATATCAATTACATCTCAGTAAAGCTGTTTAAAAGATCATATTATGCTGTATCTTTTTTAAGAAGTAGTGCCATATAGTAAAAAAACATTAAAATACTTTAAATGCATTTTGAAAAGTAAGGATACTGTGATGAACCCCTTTATCTCTGTCATTTAGATTCAACAAAAATCCGCTCATAGCCAATGTTTTTTTTATCTGTGCTTTTACTTACTCCTACCTTCAGTTATTTGGAGGCCAGTTCCACACATATCATTTCATCTGTACTCTATAGTAATCTTTTATTGTAAATAATACTTGGAGATTATGATGTTATTTAGTAAAATAAATGAATGTGGGAACATTATACAGTTTGGTAAAAATAATTTCTACTACTTCCTCTTCTAGGGGTTAGCAAGCCTGTATGAGAAGTGTAGTCAAATGAATGCTAAGGATGATTTACCAGGTGTTTACCAGAAGCTCCTGGATCTTTATGAAAGGTAATGAATGTATGGAGAAAAGCTAGTTTCTTTACAAGCTTGAATTAGAATAGTGTGTTTAAAAATTATTTCGAAGTAGAAATACTCAAAACATTTACTAGGAGTCGGGAAGCATTTTTTCATTCAAAATATTTTGTCCCAGAAACTCTTGATTGTGATTGGAATGAAATTAAGTCACTGCTAGTAAGAGGATGGGCTAATTTGAGAATTGTGCTATTATTTGCAGTTAATACAATGAAAGATAATACTGTCATTTCTTATTCCTTTCTTTTTTTATGAGAGGCTCGTTTTATAAACATTTATGCATAACGAAAGAATATTTTCTAACTTAAAATACTGGTAGTATCTGATAATATTCTTGGGATATTTTAGTTTTTAATGTTTTAAGTCCTTGGTTGTTTTTCATTATCACATTTAAAAATCCTTTTGTTTTGTATTTTTTGTTTTTGGTGTAAGTGTTGACAAACAGAAGTGGTGTGATGTCTGTAAGAAACTTGTGGATCTGTATCACCAAGAAAAGAAACACCTAGAGGTTAGTTGATTTTTTTTTAGGATGACAGATGTCTGTAATAAAACTATTAAAAGAAAACTATCTTTTGGTGTAAATGAAATTAATATGTAATATGATGTTAAAAGAATTGGAGATAAATAACTGTTTTGAAAATGTTAAATTAGAACTTAAATTTAAGGTGTTATAACTTCTGAACCTTTTTGAAACTGGGTATGGTTTAAATTAAATAAGTAAAAGTGTCATTTGTGGAACTTAGTGACCTCTTTGTGGTGTCCTCATAGCTGGTACTCTAAGTTATGGGGCTTGGGGAATGTAGTTATCTACTGTTATATCTTAGTGTATTTCTTATAGAAGGGCTCTGAATTTGCTCAGTCAACTTTTTATGGAGTTTTTTAATAGATGGGATTTTGTGCTTCTGCTATTTTGTATATTAGTAGATGAAAATGTTCTTATTTTTAGATTTTACATTTTTACTGGCATTTACTTTTAATTTTTTTCTAGTATTTAATGTCAAATAACCATTTTAAGCCTTCTTCTCAATAGGTGGCTCGAACATGGCACAAATTGATTAAGACAAGGCAAGAGGAAGGTGCAGACAACCAAGAGCTTTACCAGCTCTGGAGGAAATTGACTCAGTTGCTGGCAGAGGGTATAGAAGATCAGAATAATGAAACCCAGCAATTGGTATTGACTTGTTTCTTCCTCACAGTTTGTGTCATGAAAACTGATCATTTTATTGAATTCAGAAAATAGACGCGTACTACAGGAAAGTACCTTATGTCATACTAGTTATTTTGTAAGTGTATAATTTTAAATTCATAGAGGCTCTTTCTGTCAAAGTTAGAATTATTGGCCTGCAGTCCCACACCAAATCTGGAGGGAATAAAATTGGTACTCAGGCTGTTAGAATTTCATTTGCTTGTATTTGTAAGAATCCACAATAAATTAGTAACTTAATCACCGTAGAAAAGATTATATAAAAATTGAAATTATATAAAAAAATTGAAATTATATAAAAATTGACTTTCACAAAGCTGCTATAATTTCTAACAAGTAGTATTTTGAAAGTATGCTTCTTTATAGTTATAAACTACAAGTACTGTATTATTTGAGGCCTAATAATTCAACTTTATTATATTTAGCAGTTAGGGTATTTATACTCAGATGATATTTCCTTTTAGTGTGTAGATTTTCAAGTAATTGAAAAGAATTTCTAGAAGACTGAGAACATTGGTTTTGAATCATAATTGGAAAATATCTTTATCATTTTATTTATAATTTTAAATGTCAACTAGTACTATATGAATAGCTACTCAATATCTGTGTGTTAAACTGGAGTTTTTAAACCTTAATAGTTACAGACTGGGATGGGAACTTCATTTTTTTAATGTTTGTTTGTTCACTCATTAATTTGCTCTTTTACTCAGTAAGTATTTTATTGAGAATGTAGTATATGTCAGGTGGTGTCCTAAGCACTGAGGGTAATGGTGTAAGTAAGATTTTTCTGTGATTGTGTGCTGTGTTAGTGTTCCGTTGCTGTGCAAAGTTCCTGAGAAAATCAACTCAAAAGGCCAAACCATGAGCCAGAATGAGTACTGATAATTTAGAGTGATCGCATACTAGTTCAGTGCAGTCACTGGCTCCTTGGAGTTAGAATGCATTTTAAAACATACATACACATTTTTTCATCTTTGAAACTGTCAGGGCACAGTAAAATGCACTCCAGCTGTTTGAAGTTATAGCGTCTATCAGGGAGCCCTATACATTCAACTGTATCACACTGTCACTTAAACATGCCACGTGAATAGCTTTATTGCTTATTTCAGCTTTTGACTGCATTTGAGAATGCCCTGGGCTTATCAGATGAGATTCCCAGTGAAGATCACCAGCAACTTTATAGGCATTTTATTCAGTGTTTATCCAAAGTAAGTAAATGTTTTAAATCTCTAATATGACTTTTATGTAGTTCTAATTTGGAAAATGTTTACAAATGCATTTTACTACTATTGGAATGTAGTTTATTTTGCTTTTGTATTTTCAAGTGTCCTCATGAGACTGCTAGGTTGAAAAAGGCCTGTGAAGGAATGATAAACATCTATCCTACCCTACAGTATCCATTAGAAGTGCTTTGTTTACGTTTAATTGAGTCAGGTAATTTCTTCTTTATTATATTGTGTGTTCTAGGGGTGTGTGATTGTGTGGGAGTGATTTGCTATCAATCAGACAATATCTTCGTGCTTACCACGAAGCACGAATGTGTAGTTGGACCTAAAAGGAAATGTGCTAAGCAGTAGTCTTTGAGCACACAAAAACACATGTTGTTACCTTTAGCCCTGGATTTTTCAGTAAGAAATAAGTAGATCTTTTCCAGAACATTTTTTTGCTCCCATTAGAAAACACTGAAAATGAATTAATTTATGAAATGTAAAAACTTAAATCAACAAGGTGTGTAGGAAGAAAGAGTGAGTAACCTCTGTCCTGCTCCTAGGAATGAATGCACTATAAGTATGATAATTATGATAGACAGTAACAGATGAGTGAAAAAAAAAAAACTGATATTTTTGGAGATAAAAGAAGGAAAAATCAGTTTTAACTTTCTGATCTGGAAAGTCAGCTCAGCATGGAACAATGGTTTGTGTGAAATGTGGGTGAGTGGTGGAGAGGAGCTAATGGGCAGTAAAGGCCATAGCTGTCTAGGGAAAAGTGATAAAGCTAGGCATACAGCTTATGAACTACTTGCACATTAGTAAAGGTGGCGTGGAGTAGATCATGTCAGAGAGGATGGTGAAAGACTGAGAACTGTGCTTCGAGCAGTGCTAGCTGGCTTGAAGGGAAAGGGAGGGAGGAGAGAAGAAGGAGAAAAAGAGGACAGAGAAGAGAGGTCAAAGAGGAAGGAGGGGACCAGTAAGGGCAGCAACACAGAAGACAAGAAAAGAGCATTTCAGAAAGGAGATTATTATGGTCTGTCACAACAGCTGAGCCACTGACTTTATGATTAAAAGGCCTAATTACCTTTCAAAATGAAACTAATTGAATTGGAACTTAGATTACGATGGTTGCAAAAGAAGAAGACAGCAGGTATAAGAAGAGCAAATCAGGAACTTAACTGATTCGTCGAAGGGAGTGGAGGAGGAAGCGAAGCCTGTGAAGGGGATGGTAAACTTTAGAGTGGGGTGAAAACTGCAGTGGGTCACTTGGCAGGAGCATTGAAAAGGGAAAGGGCTCCTGAGTCTTGTTAGTGGTGTACTCGGGCCGGAAATGATGAGGTACAGTAAGAGACTTTGCATGCGGTTTTTGTGTTTTTTCTTCTGGTTGGAAGCTTAATTCCAAAATCACCTAGTTTCTTCACATTTTAGCATAAGACCCAGTGTGTTCTAAAGATAAGTGGACAGATTTTCTTTATTGTGTGGCCTCGGATACCCGTTTCCTTACGCCTTGTTATAGTTGCTATTGAGAAATGAATGCTGAGGATCACTCAGTGCTCTTTAGTGTTGTTCGGCAGTTGGTGTTTGTATCATTCCCTCGTTCTTGCTTACATGCTGCTGGTACAAGTGGATCTTCTTTTTGAAGATTGATTGACTGCTTTCTCTATAGGCATAAATGTGCCTATAATGTGAGTTTGTTAAGTAAACATGACCCTTAGATTCCAAAAAGTCTACAAAATAATAGAATAAAAGGAATCAACAGATCGTCTACAAAGTTTTGCACATAAATTCATTGAATTCATAAATTCATTTTTTGCACATAAAGTCATTGAAAAAATGCTCCAGTAAAACGATAGCAAAGGGATTGTGCTTATTGAATACTAAGTGCATGATGTGCAAAAATGTCTTGAGGGTTTGGGGCTTGGGTACTTCGCAAAACTGAAAGAAAGGGAGGTCTATATCATGGCAAAGTGGAGTGGGTGAGAGGATATTTACACATATGGTAGAATCACGAAAAGTTCTTTTCCTACTGAATTACTGGTTATAAGAATTCATGGAATTGAACAGTTGAGAGTTAAGTACATTCCAGATAAAGTGTTATTGTAGGGGTATAAGTTTAATAGTGCAGGGTGATAGGAAGCTACACTTTGATTTCTTTTTACTTTGCTCCTCTAAACCAAACTTTCTGTATTCTTCTGAAAGCTAAGAACCTCTGAAAAATCTCTAAGGTCTCTAAAGTCAGCAGACTTTGTTACTCACAGCAGTTAATCATTGGGTTCTCTTCCACTAAGGACAAATATATTTCATTCTCTTTTGCTTTGCATGTTGAGACTTGATGATTTATTTTCAAAATGACTCAGTTTGTAAAGCTTCAAATGACAAGTGGTAAATAGCTTTCACAGTTGTCATCTATTGAAATATTTTTGTCGTGCTAAATGACCTTTGTGATTTATTTTTCTTTGTTTCCAAAATGGGGGAGGATACAATGTTTGTTTCTTCAAATTCAAGCAGAAAAGAGCTTCTTTTAAGATTTTGTGCTCTAGAAATATTAGAAAATTCAGATGAAAATAAAAAAAATGAATAGCTTCAAATTGTACATTTCCCCCTCCTAAACTAGGTTTATTTAAAATAAAAATTCTATAGTATTCATCAGTTTCTTTGGTATGTCAAAAATGATTTTAAAAACTTAGTAGTCAACTTTAGGAAACAGGATTCCATAGGTATTTCTTAGGTTCCAACTTTCAGAACATGTTTTATTTACCATTGTAGTTTTAGTATTTATCAGCCCTGTTCGGTTCATCTTTTTAAGCAATAAAAATAATACTATTGAACTGTTTTACAGTCATTAGATTTGGAGGGCTGTGGATGTGGCCCAGTGGTAGAGTGCTTGCCTAGCATGCATAAGGCCCTGAGTTCCATCAGAGGCACTGTAAAAAAATTTTTAAAAAGTCACTTAATCTGGCACTAGAATCTTAAAGTGTTAAAAAGAGCATAAGTGACTTTCTACTCAAAAGCAAAGATGTCTGTTTCATCTCTATTTCTGTTCTCTACAGATATTTATTAAGCTATTATTCTCAGCAGTAATTAGTGTGGAGTAGAGGATTGAGGGTTGAAGGTGGGATATTTCTTGTGTTTTCTCATAGGCTCGCTAGTAGTGTTATTACTGTTGCTATTTTGGGGAACACTATATATAATTCCTCTAAGTGCCACTTGGCCATATGTAGAGGATATGTTTCCTAGAGATACACATGAGCATCGTCTCCCCAAATCTTACTGTGTTTCTATAATTGTGCTTCCAAATATTAGCAGAGGGAATATATTAAGGTTTATTTTGTTTTAAAAGTTGCTTCTTTCCAGCTGTTTGGAATCTACCTACCAACACTATTTTTTTCCCCCTTGTGCGGTTTGCAGTGCCCTTAGTACAGGTGATCATTGGAGGGATGCATGATTGGTTTTTTGCTTTCACCATGGCGTATGTTTTGTAATAAGGCAGTTAATGTGGCTGAGGTAGTTTGTCATGAGTTCTGTTTCTATGGGGGAAGAGAGTTTTAATTCAGATGAATATAATCAAAGGTAAACTTTTTATAGCCATTCTTATTTTTAGGATAGTGAAAATTTTAAATTTTCTATAGTAATCCTCAGCCATTACCTAATAATAGACTTAAGCTTTTTTGAGTATTATTAGTTCATGAGGATCTTTTTAAAAGATTATCATGTTTAATGAGTGCCTGCCATGTACCTTGCTAGTCTACTCCCCAGAAAGTAGCATTTAATACAGAGGTAACAAAGGCAGGGTATTTATATATCTGTTATAAGACTAACAGTAAGGATACTGTATAGCAAATACTGCAGTTCTCTGTGGTTCTTAAAGTGTAATCTCTGGACCAGTAGCATCAATGCTGAGAACTTGTTAGAAGTGCAAATTCTCAAGTCTTACCCCAGACCTCCTGAGCCAGAAACACTGGAGGGGGATTCACCCTAACATATTTTAAAAGCCCCGCAGGTGAGTCTGATGCCTTGTGTAGACAGTGTCTTGTTTGGACACTACCACTCGGTAGGAAAGGAAAATGTCTCTGCTTTGCTCTGGAGGAGGTAGAGGGCATAGGGCTAGGTGTATCTGTGCTTGGAACTCATTTCTGGAAGCAGAAGTCAGAACATTTTGAAAGAAGGAAATTTGTATCTGAAAGCCTAATAGTAACTGACCTTGTGTCTTTTTACTGGCTTACTATTTGAAGTAGTGTTTTTTTTCCATTTCTTTTCTTTTTTTCATATTTTACTGAACAGTATTAACACTCTAGCCATTATGAATTCTCTAAATTTGTGGTTGCTAATTTGGATTTCTGTGGGCTTTATCTTTGTGTGTATCTGGCTTTGAAAAATTTGAAATACATAACCTAACTGATATTATGCAAATAATTTGCCTTTGACACCTGGGGCTGAAAAGGTGGTTCCATATGTGGTTTAGGGGCATGTTTCACATCGATATTAAACCATCAGGTCTTTTTTTTTTTTAAGTAAATTGGTCTCTTTTTTTGTTTCTTTGAAGCAGAGTCTCACAGTGTAGTTTAGGCTGGCCTTGAACTCACCATGTATCCCAGGCTGACTTTGAATTAGTGGTAATCCTCCTGCCTCAGCCTTCTGAGAGCTGGGATTACAGGCATGTACTACCATACCTGGTTTCAAATAAATTTTTATTTATTCCCAACACTTATTACTTTAAGCTATAATCTATCTTAATTACTTTTTAAGAACTTTCTGTGTGATGAAACGATTTATTAAAATGGTAAATGCTATGCAGCATTAATTCTGAAAACAGAAATTACATTTTTCATTTGTGTGTGTGTGTGCTTTTCTGGAAATCGGAATCTTAAAATTAATTGAGACTGGAGAAAATGGAGATAAATATATAATGTTTTCTAAACTATTTTACCAAAATAAAATAGAAAATAAATGTAGACAGACATTTGAGGACTATTACACAAAATTAATTATTATGTAGAAAAAGTTTTAGAAAAATATAGAAATGTGCTGCTGAACATGTAAGGTTAAGAGGGCTGTAACTGTCTTTCATGAGTAGCCTGCCATCTCTTGATCCTAGAATGCTGGAAAGTTCTCTACATGTGACCACATGTGTCTATCAGTGCATTGTTGCTCACAGAGAGAAACGCAAGAAGATATCTTCCTCTGTCAGATTTTCCTTCATATAACAAGTAAAATTGTTATTACTGCATAAAAGAGGCCTGGAAAGCCAGGTGTATGTGATAGTCTGTGTGTCTTAGCCTACTGGCTAGGTTTCTTGAATATCTCAGGTTCATAATCTATGGATAAAATAGTTCCTACTTGTAACATTTAAGAAGATAAAAAGCGGCTCTCTTTCTTTATGAAATGTTGATATTTTCTGTATGTGCTGGTTTATTTGAGTTTTGAATTCCTGGAATCAGGACATGGTAAAGGAAATATAAAGCAGCTTTTGGCCTGAAGTATATATAGGTTTTGACATTTAGGAACTTGATATACATATGCTAATAATTTTTCTCTTAATTTCAGGAAATGTTGCTGATGAGGAACAGCAGTACTTTTGTAAACTAGTAGAAATGAATTCAAAAAGTGGTCCAGGCCTCATTGGCATAGGCATTAAAGCATTACAAGACAAAAAATATGAAGACGCTGTCAGGAATCTAACAGAAGGTAATTGTACAGCCGATGGCACGTGATACAAGGTGCCATTGTAACTTAGTAGGCACTAATCTCAGAGTCTTTCTCTAAGGAAGTTTCTAAGGTGGTAGGGAAAAAACATACTTGTGTACCCTGGAGTTTGCTCAGATTTGAATTCCAACTCTTCCACTCACTGATTTTAAGACTTTAGAAGAGTTAACTAAGCATTCTATGTCTCAGTGTTTTAATTTGAAAATAAGGATAATTTTAGGAAGGCTTAACGTAGGTGTGATATTTCTGGATGAATCTGTGTTCAAACTGGGATCTGCCTGACAGATACAAACCAGGCAAGTGGGTGAAAAGGATGGGAGGAACATTTTGGGATGAGAGATAAATCGTGGAATAGCCTGAGGGAGGAGGTAAATTGTTGTCCAGAGATCTGTGGGCAGTTTGCAAAGTTTGAGAATGAAGTAAGGATGTAGGATGGCACAGGAGGAGAAGTTGGGGCAAGGCCTCGCAAACTGTGGTAAACAGTTTGTACATTATCTCCAGAGCAGTGGGCTATCAGTGAAAGGCCTGAAGGAGTAGAATTTCATAATCTGATTTGTCTTCATTTTCAGTTTTTATTATTTTAATTTTTTATTAGTACTTCTTTTTTGGTACCAGGAATCGAACTCAGGACCTTGTACTTGTCAGGCAGGTGCTGCACCACTGACCCATTAGTACATGTTTGCATCACTTAATGATTACATTCCTTGTGTGGAGATGGTACATGTCCATGTCTTAATTCTTTCTTCATGCCCTCCCCCTCCCTCTTAGAAACACTGCAGCACGTTGGCTGGCAGGCACTCTTAGTGTTCTGGGATGAACATAGTAGAGCTCTGAGCTGAAGGGTGCTGGTAGAGACAGAGAGAATGGAGAGGACTGGATCGGGACAGGGAGCTGTGTGGCTTCGTGATTGATTAGATGAGAGATGTGAGGACGAGGGGAGGGTCAGATTTGGAGAGTAGATGGTGACTCCATTCATCTAAGTAGTCGTGGAAACCTTGATTTTTAAGATTGTTTTTATCCTTTTAGGGTTAAAGGAAAGCCCTCTATGCACAAATGGGTGGTATCATCTGGCAAAAGCCCAAGTCAAAATGCATAGACCTAAGGAAGCTGTTATTTCATGCAATCAAGGTATTTTATTTATTTATTTTTTTTTTTTGCCATTTTGGGGTTTACACATGTTTATTTCATCTTAAAGGAGAAAGTTAGTGTTTAAAAAAAAAAAACTCCCATGCTTTTCTTTCACATTTTAAATTGCTCAGGTTAAATAAATACCAAATCAGCATGCATGCATATTAGTGTGCTTATTTTTAAAATAACAGTGAGCATTTATCAAAACTTTCCCACTTTTGAATGTTGATCTCCACTTTAGGGTTGGATGTGGTGTTCTGCCTTTATAACAAGAGAGTTCCTGGTGTGCCCAGGACTTCCTTGAATTCTTCATTTCTCTGATAGAGATAAAGGAAGTCTTAGGCATCTTGGAGCTTATTTGAATGTGATACAAGGTAGTTCTCTGCTCTGGATCCAGCTTGTTGCTCCTGTAACTGAAATATGTTTACCCAGGCCCATTGTAATTCAACTGCTTTTCCCTTCCAGTATCCTTAATTTGCTGTGTCACAAATAGTTTTGCTGACAGCTAACCTTTATTAGGCCGCAGATATAGATAATCATTGCTGTGTTTCAGGATCTTCAGTTTCGTTCTGTCAATGTGAAGTAGATTTTAGATTCACATGTTTGGCTTTAAAATTAGGTCTTAAATTCAGAAGAATTTGAATTATCTTTCAAGTGTATTGTTTTAGAAATTTATACTTACTGTGTCTACTGTTTATTTATTTTTTGATCCTTAAAAATAAAAAAAGTGAAGTGATTATCTCTACTCAGATGTCCTTAATTTTGTCAGCTCTGAAGAACATAGATAATCCTGGTGTGCCTGGTGGCAGTCTTCAGCAGAAGAATCTTTGTCTTTGTTTGAAAGCAGAGGCTCTGATTAAACTCTCAGACTGTGCATCTTCAGAAGAAGCAATTCGTGCTCTTGATCAGGTAGTCTTTTCATCAGGTTTTTCCTTTTATTAGTTTCCATCTGAGCAGGTAAAAACCATCTCTCTTCACCACATATTTACTTAGACTGTGAGTTAGGAGTCTGAGTCCACCGTATCTGCTCCTGGATTACTCATTCTTGTACTTGGAAACTCTGTTTGTTTGACCTCTTATGTGCTCTTTGCATGAACCAGTTTCTTTTTGTAGTTTTTTTTCCCTTTAGTTTTAGTCTTATTCTCTTGTCTTCTTTTTGTCCTCGTGGGTTATTACTTCTTGAGTACTATCAGGGATTCCAAATGCTTTCCTCCTTAAATGTTTTACAGATTAATGATAGTGTTAATTGAGGATGTAATAGCTTCATGGTAGAGAATGTTGTTTCTTTCATTCAAAGAAAGACTGATTTTTGAGGAAACTGACTTTTTTTTTGGTTCAAACTATTTGAAATTAGTGAAAAAAAAGAAAACCAGAGCAGGCAAATTGTTAATTATAACAACATTGTGCCTAAAAGAATTTTGTGAAATAAAGACTATTTTTTTGTGTAACATTTATATTATATCCCTTAATGTTTTGCAAGGTTTTGGGTTTTTTATATTTTAAAGGCCTGTTTGAAATATATGCATTTTGCATTTCATAATCATAATTTCATATTTCTTTAAAATTGTAGTGGTTGTTAGCATACTTGAAGAACTAGTATCTCATTTTCTATTTGCCTTTCTCCAATAATATGTTTTGTGTGATAATTTTTAGAGATCTTTTCAATAATTTTCTTACAAAAAAAATGAAAAGTTTCTTAAAGAACTAGAAGAGTCCAGGTTTGAAGCAGAAAATGTGCAAAGTGAACACAGAACATCTCATCCTGCTACACCATAGAAGCACTTACGATTATTTTCTAGGTTTCAGATGCAAATAATGTCCCAGGACTTTTGGTTCTCAAAAGCTTGGCCTATCTGAACAAAGGCTCCTTAGATGAAGCTACAAAGGTTAGTTTTTTTTAAAACTTAAAGTAAGCGTTTTTTTAACAGTTAACGATCAATTTTAATTGACAAGTATCTACTTTATAGATTATGGAAGATCTACTCCTGTCTCACCCCAACCTAGCTGAAGCTCATGCGCTCGAGGCCTTGATTCATTTTACCAAAAAGGATTATCTACAAGCAGAAAAGTGGTAAGGCTATGTAGGTTGCTCATAAATCGGGTCACATCTGAGTTTATTGTATTGCTCAAAAATTTAGCATGAACTTGATGAACTGGCCTTGATGAAGATCAAGTTTTATATAAATTTGGTCTTTCAAGCCTTTTTAAATCAGTGTTTTGGGCTGGGGATATAGCTCAGTGGCATAAGCACCTGCTTGGCAAGCTTGAGGTCATTAGTTCGATTCCCAGTACCAAAAGAGAAAAACAAATGTGTTTTAAGAAAGGTATCTCACTTGTACAACAGTTAACTATAAAAAATTCACTGAAGGATCTAGAATGGAATTAGCTGATCATAGTGTTCAGTAAGTAGATGTAATGTTTGGCGTATGCCTTGAACAGTTAGCACATGGTCATGCTGAATGGCTGCTGCTTTTTTAAACTCTTTTTAAAAAACAAACCATTTTCTTCTCAGTATAGTCTAAATCCTAAAGTAATGACTTACTTCTGATTTGGTGTCCTTGAGTTGCTCAAAGTTTGATAGTTCCAACTAGGAGTCTGCTATATTTTGGTTATATTTATAAATATTTTGCATTTTATTTTAATTCTCCTTTTTATTCCGCTTTGGTGACTTAGTTTCCAGAGAGCAATTGAAAAAGACACTGAAGTTGCTGAGTATCATTACCAGCTTGCGTTAACATACTGGTTCATGGGCGAGGACACAAGAAAGGATAAAACAAAGGCTCTCACCCATTTTCTGAAGGTAAAACAGACGCTGCTGTTCAATTCTTAGGTGAAGTAGATTCATTATAAAATCATGAATAGTAATCACATAAACTCGATATTTAAAACCACTCTTTACTGAACTCTTTTTGCATATCGTTTCTCACAACGTTTTATAAAAATGTTATTTGGGTTTTCAAGGAGAAAATTAAACTGTAAAAGTACAAGAAATATTTTTCCAGAAATTTGTATTGCAGAAAATGCACATTATCTCTGAAAAACAATATTGTTTGTAGGTTATTTTGCTATAGTTTTTTTTTCCACTATAATTTTACAGGTATATAAATCTAGATGTTTTACCTCTTGCCTTTTTTGAAGTTTAACATTTTAAAATCTTCTTATCTTGACTTGTAAGAACAGACTTACTTACCCATGACTCAATTTCACAATTCTTTTACCAAAGAAGTCATAGTTTACACTGCAGTGCACTTTCTGTAAACAGTTAACAGCCAGCCTTCATGGCTGTTTTAAATTTTACATTAAAGGAAATTTTGACATTTTTGTATATTTAATAAAATTTCTTTTTCTCCCCCTTAATCTGTGTACTATATTTCTTTTTTGGTGTGTTTCAAAAGACACTCATCCAAAAGAACTTTTATTTTCTGTTGTTAATATTTATTTTAAAGGCTGCAAGACTGGATACATACATGGGCAAAGTTTTCTGCTATTTAGGTCATTATTACAGAGATGTAGCAGGAGATAAAAACAGAGCCCGTGGATGCTACAGAAAAGCTTTTGAATTAGATGACACTGATACTGAATCTGGAGCTGCAGCAGTTGACCTAAGTGTGGAGCTTGAAGATACGGTATGCCTAATAACCATTTGACTTTTTGGTCTTTCTTTTTTATCCCCAAGTATATAACTAGAAATACTTTTATACAGATACATATTCTTGAAAGTTATCATTAGTTCTTATATTTCTTCGTACCTGTAATACAGATGTTTTTACCACTAGGTATAAATAGGTTAATTTTTTTTCATTGGCAGATATTAAATGACTCATCACTCATTGAAACTGGTTTGCTATATGCCAAACCAGTTTAAAACTAGTTTTAAGAAAATAGGAAGTGAGGAACGAGAATGTCTGTTCACTTTGTATTGATGACGTATTGTTTTATGGTATTCAGTATCTCTAATACTGATTTTTCACTAGGAAACTGCCTTAGCTATCCTAACTACAGTAACTCAGAAGGCAAGCGCTGGAACGGCAAAATGGGCCTGGCTTAGACGAGGACTGTACTACCTGAAGGCTGGTCAGCATTCCCAAGCAGTGGCTGAGTAAGGCACCTGATTATGTTTATATCTACATACTGTCATGGTTCTTTAAAGTAGATTTCACTTAGGCAGAATTTTTTTTTTTGGTACGGGGACTCGAACTCAGGATCTCACACTTGCCAGGCAGGCACTGTGCCGCTGAAGTAAATGCCTGACCCTCAGATTTCACTTATATTCAAATAACCTTAAAGTTGCTTCTTACCCGGTTATATTTTGAGGGAAGAAATAGCAAGAGTTTTTATGGTTGCTTAGTACTGATTATAAGGTGGAATCAAAAATATATCAAAAAATATGTCCTATTGTTAAGGAGATAGCCAGTCTAGTGAAATCAAGTCTTACTACTATCACACATACAGTAGGTTGGTGCTCACCAGAAATTTCAGGAATGATAAAACACTGAAGTAAAAATTGTTCTTGTCCTTCCATACACATTCGTTGTTTTTGGCAAGGGAGACATGTGGCTTCTTGGACATTTGGAGCAGCTTAGACATGATTAATTTTAGCCATTTTGTGTGAACTGTATGTCAGGGTAAATAAAATAGAATTGAATCAAGGTAAAGTCACTTCTGATTTATGCTAATTTCTTGGCATTTTGGAATATTTCGTAAAAATGGAATAGGATCAGAAATTTAAATCATGCCTCTTATTCCTGTGTTTCAGTGTGATATTTCCATGTAGCAGAAAGATTAATAGTGGGGTTTATGGACTGTTGAGGCAAACTGAGATGTCCATCTATTCTGGTAAGGTAGAAAATCAGAGTTCTTCCAGATAATCAACAAAAAGAAATTCTGGTCAGCAGTTTTCCAAAAATGTTTTTTGTTCTTATTTATTCTGAAATTTTAATAAAACATCTTAGTATTAAAATTCAGTGAAGATACCACCATGTATTACAGCAACCATTGATATTTTCCTACTAATCTGTCCATAACTCTCTAATGTTTGTATTGTTCCTATGCTATTTCGTAAATGGATGTATGTTTATTATTATGTGTTTCCTACAACAACCATTGAGAATAGTCAATGATTATTCAATTGGTCACTCGTGTATAGCTCTATTTACTTTTTTTAGAAACCACTTTGAAGATACCAAAGTATAGTACAACAGCCGTTGATAATCTCCTACCACTTTTGTCTGTAACTCACTATTATTTGTCTATTTGTTTTCCTGAGAAACTATCTTGTAGATAACAATATGTAAAACAACTATTGATAATCTCCTACCACTTTGTAATTCAGTAAGCCCCCCTATTGCTATGTTATCCTTCTTTTACTCTTTAAAATAAAAAAAATAATAAAAAATAAAATTCAGGCTGCTGAAGGAACAAGTATACCAGCTTTAAGTAGCACTTTTATAAGTATAAGAAGTCATAGATACAAATGCGGAATTATTTCATATTTTCTTTTCAGGTGTGAACATGGTTCTATTATTTTTAGTTCCCTTATTGTTTCTTAAAATTCTAGTTTACAGGCAGCATTAAGGGCAGACCCAAAGGATTTCAATTGCTGGGAGTCCTTAGGAGAGGCATACTTAAGCAGAGGTGGCTACACAACAGCCTTGAAGTCCTTCACAAAAGCCAGTGAGCTGAACCCAGAATCCACATACAGTGTGTTTAAGGTTGCAGCAATACAGCAAATCCTAGGCAAGTATAAGGAGGCCATAGCTCAATACCAGCTGATCATTAAAAAGAAAGAAGATTACGTGCCTGCTTTCAAAGGTAATTCTTTTTAGTAGCTTCAATGACTTTATGATTCTGAAATATAACATCTTGGGTAAAATTCATATATAAATCTATTAAACAAGTTGAAAACAACTTTTTTTTTGAAAACAACTTATTTAGTCAACAGCAAGCATCTGATACAATCTGCTTACTGTATAGGTTGCACATATTTGGATGTAAAAAGATCAACTTTTATTTCCTAACAGTTTATAAATAGTAACATGATAGATTCACTTTTAGATAAGTGTCACAGTAACTATTTGGGCTTAAAAAAGGATCTCTAAAACAAGTTTATCTGTTCTCATATTTTGATAATTAATTCAGTATAGCCCTTGAATACTTTAATACCTTTTAATTATTTTGTAAGTTATAAAAACTCATTTAAAATATTTTTTAAACTTTAGAGGCAACTTGTTTTGTAATTCTCAGTTAATTTCAGTTCCTTCATAGATACCTATTTTTTATCAAATTATTTTTGGACATAAAGGGAAAAACACAAGTATGTATATATAATCTAAATTTTTTATGAAAATATCTTGACATCTTAAAAAAAGCCTGAAGATGATCTATATTTCTGCCTCCATTTCCTTCTCCTTTTTAAATACACAGTTGAGGTTGGTTTTGAGTAACACATAATGAGAACTAGCTCTTTCTTGCTCTGTTTTGCTTTTAATTTTGTAAAGCCTTCCCTCAAAAGGAGTACTCAGATTTATAAAATGCTTACTAGGCACGTTAGGAAATCAGTTTCATTTAATTCTTACAGTTTAGTTTGTATACCAATTTTAATATAAAAGATTAAATCATGTTTCCCAGTCATATGATTAAGAGTAACATTTAGATTATAGCCCGATTTTCAAAGCTGAAGAGGTAAGTAACCTTCTCAAAGCCAAGGAAATTCTTAGCGTTTATAGGTCATTTTTAGTGCATGCTTATTCCAACAAAACCCTGATGTTGCAATTCCTTACTAAATGTATTCAAGATCATTTTATAAAATAGCATAACATTTGTTGACTAGAAAGTGACTTTAAAAGAACAGCAGTATGTTTGTTTGAAGTTTAAGTGTTTATTTTCTATATTTTAATGAAGCTACAAATTTATCTGATTTTAGGTTTGGGCGAATGCCATCTTATGATGGCAAAAGCAGCTTTAGTTGATTATCTTGATGGGAAAGCTGTAGACTACATAGAAAAAGCACTGGAATATTTTACTTGGTTAGTATTATTGTTATTATTTATTATGTATAGCCAAATTTAGAAAATAACTCTCTGTTTATTCTGTGAGTTATTCAGAATATCAAGTATAATAGTCACAGGCTAACCAATTAGTTCTGTAACATACACTGTGTTAATTCTGCACTTGTCAAAAAGATGCAATTTCTTGTGCTCTTTGCAGTGCCTGGCTCGCTGAACCTAGTAAAAATAGGAAAGAAGAAGTAATCTGTTAGGCAACCGCTCCAGCACCATGTACAGGGATGATGAAAAAATATAGTGAATGTTTAAATTAAAAATATTTATTATGGTAAAACACATTGAGATCAGTCCCCTCAAAATGTTCCCTCCTTAATCTTGGACACACTTTTCTCATCGCTTTTGGGAGTGTCTGTGTGGGATCTCATCAAAAACATGGCGAACGTTTGGCCGAGTGCCATCCATTGGAAAGGTGGGCTTGTCAAAATATTATGGTGTGTCCTTATTCACTGGGTCTGGCACGGTGTAACTTCTGGCTCTTCCCCAAAGTCAAAACGATCACAAAAAGTAAACGTTTTGAATTGATTTGTGACATTGAGGTGGCCATGCCACGGCAATTAAAAACACTTATGGAAGAGGACTTCCAGAACTGCTTCAGAAAGTGGCAGAGAAGGATGAGGTATGTGTGTTTGAAGCGAGGGAGAGTACTTGAGGGAAATTAATAGCAATGTGTCCTTTACTGTAGTAATTTTTAAAAAAAATTTAATACACATTGCATTAAATAAAATAAAAAGGGCTAGAGGTATAGCTCAGTGCAGAGGTCCTGTTTTTAATCCTCAGTGCTGTCCCACCATGTGTATGTGTATGTGTATGTATCTGTACATTTATTTGTAAATATACACGTATGTGTCTTCTCAAAGAGGAAGTTCTTGTGAAGCAGCGTACTTTGTTTAAACTGGTATTAAAGAGTAAATGTGAACCTTTGAATGAGAATATCTTAGCTACAAACACTGCCTTCCCGAACCCAAAAATTTTTATTCTGGATAACATATAGCATTTACAACCAATTAGGTATAATGTAGAATATAGCGTGCTCAGAAATTATAATCTTCAAATTGTAGATAAGGGTGATAGAATTATTTTACTTTAGAACTGTTTTGTTTATTGAACTTGGACAGATTTTTGACTGTTACCTTCTTGTTTTGTTTTGTTTTCTACTTTCATGCTGTCAGAAACTTTGAAACTTAGAAACTTTGCTAAGATATTTAAAGGAATTTGAAATAGTGTTGTCCTTCTTTCATGGTGGATTTTTGGTCATGACTGCAATAATTAATATTTCTTAGGAAAAGCTTGGAAACTGGTTTTTGACTGGACTCCTTGAGTAGAAAAGGCTATGAAAAATGTTAAAATCTGCTTGTCCGTCTGCCTGTGACACAGCAGTTTGTGATAAATGATTGTAGAGGCTTAGCTTGTATGAAATTGCTGTTTTACTTATAAAAGCTTGAGAAAAAGGAAGTATGTAACTCTGATTTTTCTTATTCTACAAACAAAATGTCCTCTATCTGTACAATTAATATTTGCACTCACTTTTTGAGCTTGTCTATGCAGTATGTCCTTACTTGGTCCTGTGAATGTGGGTCTTTACATGTTTACATTTTTATTTCTGGTCTCAGACTGAAAGTCCCTTGGCCCACCCTATATATTTGATAATTATTTTATTTGAGGGAAAGTCTAAAAGCAAAAACCTGCACTTACAATAGTCAGCTATAAACTAGGTACTTCACTGCCTGGTTGGTTGCTTAAGCATAGAGCATCAAAAGTCAATCGATCCTGGAAAAGTTTTTGATTATTTGATTTCTGTTATTTTTAACAAAAATAGTGAAGAGTACTAAAAAATTGCAAAATTTCTAGAACATAGAATAAACCTTGCCTCTTGCCCACCCTTCTTTTTTTTCCCTTATCTTTCTATTAGAGAGGTGATAGGATATAATTCAGTAGGAGGAGGTTAGTAAAGCATTTATTGAACTTAATTAAGGAGGGAAGCTTAGTCAGGATTGCATGAACAATTTTTGTTTTAATTTTTGGTAATAATAAGAGAGATAAACTGCCATGCTTTTGGGACTGATTTTTAAGAATCACACTATTTGTTCTTGCAGGGCTCTACAGCATCGAGCTGATGCATCTTGCCTTTGGAAGCTGGCTGGGGATGCTTGCACCAGTCTCTATGCTGTTTCTCCATCAAAAGTGAATGTTAATGTTTTAGGTGTCCTTCTAGGTCAGAAAGAAGGGAAACAAGTGTTAAAGAAAAATGAGCTGCTCCATCTTGGAGGAAGGTAATTTACAAGTGCCTGGATCACTGGGCCTTCTCAATGCAATTCTGAGGAACAAATTTTCTACACTGCCACCATTCTGGAACGTGGTATTCTGCAGCTTTCTCCTCAAAGCAAAGTCTATCACTTTTGCAGATTTGAAGCTGCAAAGGGTGGAGACTTAGTGCTTTTGGTGATGCCCTCAGGCCATCTTTTCTATTCTCCCGCCTTCTCAGCAATGGAGATCTCCTCAGCTCTATCTTTGCAGTCCATAGCTTTACTGGAGCTTCCCTTCTGGCCAAACTCAACATATTAAATCATCCTGCAGGGCTCTTCGCTCTTGATTCTCAACATAAATCTGGGTAAAAGCCCCCAACGATAGCCATGCCACTGCCTCAACATTAGACTGCCTTAAAATTTCTTTTGCCAGATTAATTAGTCTACCGCCTTTAATCACAGTCTCAGGGAGTCTCTGGACATGAGCAAAATGCAGACAAACTTTCTGCCAAGTCATAGTACACATCATCTGGAGTCTAGCACCCACAGCAGTCCTTTCCAGCAGAAATCTCCCAAGCCTGGTCTTTATAAGCAGGATTTCTATCAGCCTTCTGGTCTTTGTGGTCTTCTGAGCTTTGACCAGAATCTCCCATACAGAACAGCCTAAGGTATTCCAGCTCTACTCTTTCAGGTGACATCTCCAAACCTTTCCAAACTCTTCCCACAAGGCGTTCCCAAAGGCTCTTAAACCACATGCTTGGGTACAGTCACAGCAATGACCCCACTCTCTGGTACCAAATTCTGTCTTAGTTACTTCTCTCAGTGCTGAGACAAAATACCTGACACCCAGAATTAAGAAAGGAAAGATTTATTTAGCTCACAGTGTGTGGAGGTTTCAGTCCATCCTTGGCTGGCTGCAAGACAGGCGGCACGTGGTGGAGGGCAACAGTTTATGGTGGTAGAAAACAGCAAAAGCAGCAAGAGCAAAGAGGGAGGAGCAGCAGCAAGCAGTCTCTTTCCCTCCGTTATTTTGTATGCAGGCTACCCATCCCACGGCGGGTGTAGCACTCACACCCATAACCCCAGCATTGGACCATGGATCAAAAAACAAATTCTAGAAACCCACCCCATGACTGCATGAGGCTTTGCGGGGACATCTGGACACAAACCCTAACAATAACATTCGTTTTTCTTTTTCCTTAGGTGTTACGGTCGTGCACTAAAATTGATGTCTACATCCAATACCTGGTGTGACCTTGGGATTAATTATTATCGCCAAGCACAGCATTTAGCAGAAACAGGCAGCAACACGAGTGATCTCAAAGAGCTTTTGGAGAAATCTTTGCACGTATGGTTTTGAGAAAGTTTTTATAAACTTAAAAAAAAAAATCAAGTGCCTCTTTTGAAAGATTTTTAAGATAAATTTGACAGTGTTTTTACATAAACTCATATTTACTTTGATATCAATGCTGACATTGCAAGAAATAAAAATTAATCTCATTTAATTTTCTTTCAGTGTCTGAAAAAGGCAGTGAGACTGGATAGCAAGAATCACTTATACTGGAATGCTCTTGGGGTGGTTGCGTGTTACAGTGGTGAGTGCTGAGCAAAGTGTACCGTAATGTTTTTAGAAGATTATTGTTTTCAGGTAACGAGGTACAATTACTTCAAATTCTGTCTTCCAGGCATTGGAAATTATGCCCTTGCTCAGCACTGTTTCATCAGATCGATCCAGTCCGAACAGATTGTGAGTGCCTGTGTGTCTGCATATGAAAAAGAACTTCAGTGTTCAGTGTTACTGATTTTCTGAGTCTTCCAAATATATAAAAGGACTAATTGTTAAAAATATATGTTATTTTCTAGAATGCTGTTGCATGGACCAACTTGGGAGTGTTATACCTTGCAAGTGAACACATTGAGGTAAACATAGTGTCAGTTTTGTCATATTAAAGATAAGCCACATTTTCTATATATGATCGTTTTGTAATAGCTCAGCTTTTTGTGGAGAAAAATTTGGATATTGTTAGCTACCCAGTATACTATCAAATATGTTAGTTAACTGATCATATTCGATTGAGTATGTTAAGCAGTGAATACGTAAGGTTTATTTTTCCTTCTATGACACTACAGGAAATTCTGGTATTATATGTCTAAGGTTTTTAGAGATTAAAAAACAATTCTGCTGTGAATTATAGGATGTTTTTCTCTTTTCACCTGTAAGAGAAATCCTTTCTAGAGTGTGTTGGGGAGGGTGTGGGTGGCACACAAGGGAGGTAAAGGAGATGACTGTTATCTAGCAGCTGAAATTTAACTTCTACCTGCATGATTCAGGTTTTGGCTTTAGTGAATATTAACCCCTTTACATACTAAAATATATTTTGTGATAGTTGAGCAATTATACATTAGAGAATTGGAACTTAAATAACTGGGAACATGTTTAGAGGTCAGGCTGGGAAGTTTTCACAGAACTGCAGACAGTGTGTTGTGTTTGAGCCAATATACTGAATCTCATCCTTTTAAAAAAGCTTCCATATTACTCCTAGGAATACGTACATTAAATCACTCACTGCAGATAAGACTAGTGTTTAAAGATTATAGACAGATGGAAAGACAGTATTAACTGGGATTTTAAGATATGTGACACAGTGGTAGACCATGTACTTGTCTGGCACTAAGACCCTGGGTTTCATATGCAGTGCCACAAAAAAATAAATCAACATGGTTTTTTAAAAACTTTAAATCAAGCAACATCTTAGGTAATACAGCACAAATGTAAACTTACTGTCGCGTGGCAAAGTTGTTGCTCTTGAGCTTATTTTTTCATAGGACAAATAAGTTTCTCTCCTGCCATGCAAGAGATAATTGTCAAACATTATAAAGCTGTCTGTAACACCACGTGCAAGTGACTTGTCCAGATGAGCCGTCTTCACAGTTTCTTGACTGCCTAGTGCAGAGCTGTGTTGTTGGCCGCCCCCTCTCAAACTTTGTTAGTTGTGAGTTCTCATCCTTTCAGCTAAGCTCAGAGGAGAAGGAAATAGATACAGCTTTACGGAATCGTTTCCTCGGAGTATGTAGCTAGCAAGCATAGGTATGATTGTCAGAAGTTGTGCAGGTTATGAGACAAGCACCTGTATTGTTTTTGTCCTGGGACCAGAATTCCTCCTCTCTGGAGAAATCTGCATTAACCATTGCTAGCTGTGCTCAAACAGTAACGTTTTAGGTTCCTGTGTATCTGTGATGATACGCTTGACTTGTCTTATTCTCTTTATGTTCTGCTTTTCAGGTACTGTTTATAAAGTTACTTAATGTGATATTTTCTTGCCTTTCTTTTCTAGCAAGCTCATGAAGCTTTCAAAATGGCTCAGTCCCTTGATCCATCTTACTTAATGTGTTGGATTGGACAAGTAAGATATGTCACAGTTATTAATAAACATAAGTAACCTCATCATATAAATAACAGCAATAACAGTAATGATGACAGGTAGCATCTGAGGACTTGTTATGTGCCAGTCATGTGCTGTTTGTATGCATTACGGTATTCCAGTGAATACTGGAATCCTCAGGCCTTTGAGATGCGGCTGTGGGTGTATTCTTAAAGATGTAGAACTGTAGCTCAGAGCTCCTACGTAATATACTCAAGGTGACACAGGTTGTAATGAAGAACCTTTGGATACCATGAGTTATTGTACCTAAAAAATGCAGAACTCTTTAACTCACATTTATAAAATAGACACATTTACAAAGATCATTTTGATTATTGTTTTCTTATTTTCTGAAAATCTTCATATTTGATTTGGCACATTTGAGTATTTTTTTTCCTTCTCCAAGTTCAGATTTTGTATTGCCAAATAAGAAGCAAGACAGGTGTTAGTCTGAGTCTGTGACTGACTGATTATTTTACCTTAACGTATCACTTCTCTGGATTTTAATTTTCTCACCTGAAAAAGCAGGTGCTTTGCTTGAGTGTCCTTTGGTGTCATACTTACTTGAGAAATTGTGATGAATGAGTAAGCAATTGATTGTTTTGGTTTACTGAATAATGGGAACATCACCCATCTCAGAAAATCATTAGTCCAGGACTTTCTTATTTCAGTCTAATTCTAGTTAATTGGTGGAACAAGCTGAGGTAGAAAGGCAAACTCCTGTCCTACTAAGTGTGGTAGCTGCTGGGAGCAGTGTCATTACTATGCTAACCTCTGTGCTGGCCTCTGAACTCTGGAAAGCCAAGAATTTGCATTTCTGCTGCTGCAGATTATGATGGTGAAACTGGCTGGTCCAGGGACTGCCCTGAGTAGTCCTGTTCTAGTCAGTAGATCTTAGGTATTTGTCAGTATATACTTTTACTTTGCAAATATTTTTGTTATTAAAAATAATTTTTTTTCAGAAGGTAACTGATAGGTTTAATTAAAATGGTAATAATAGACTTAAGTTTGGTTTTAAGCACAGCTAATAAACCTTTGATTTTTCTAAATCAATTTATTATCGCCATTATCATTTTCTCTTAAGCATTAAGTCCCCATTTTCCTTTCATAGGCTCTTATTGCAGAGACAGTCGGAAGTTATGACACCATGGATCTCTTCAGGCACACTACAGAGCTCAACATGCATGTAAGGATTGGAACATTCTTCGTGAGGATTCGTTAGTAAAGTACTGTCCTTATTGAAAAATGAATAGATAGTGGTAGAGGCTGTTAATGGCTGTAGTTGTTTCTATTTATTCTTTCTTGGAAACGATAAATTTTTTCATTAAAGATCTAGTTTTCATCTTTTTTAAATTAAACTTATTGGTACATTTCAGGTATACATAATGATCACATTCGTTATAGGGAATTTGTACCTGTACATTTATAACTTGATTCATTTTTGTTGTTGTTTTTGTTTTTTCCGGTACTGGGAATCAAACTCATGACCTAGCGCTTGCCAGGCATGTGCTGTGCCGCTGAGCTAAATCCCCAGCCCCTTGATTCATTTTTTCCCATTTCTCTACCTTCCCTTCAACCCCTCTTTCCCTCCTTGTTTACAAAAGCTTTGTTTCTACTTCTTCCTTCTTTTCTCATCATTTTTTTCTTTTCCCTTCTTTTTCCTCTCCCCCTTTCTAGTTCCCCTTCCCATTTGAACATTTTCTTCTTATTTTGCAATGCCTTTTATACATTTTGTTTCTTATTTACACTTTGTTTCTCACACCAGAGAAATAATGTGGTATTTACACACTTGTGTCTGATTTATTTCACTTAAGAGAATGGCCTCAAGGTCCATCCATTTAGCTAGAAATGTCTCAAGCTTATCCTTCTTTATGGCAGAGTAGTACTCCATTGTATAGGAAAACCTACATCTTCTTTATCCATGCATCAGTTGATGGGTATTTGGGTTGTTTCCATAACTCAGCTATTACAAACTATGCTGCTATAAACATGGGTGCACATATATGGCTGTGGTATGATACTTTTAATTTTGGGGGGAAGATACCAAGAAGGGGAATAGCAAGGTTGAATGGAACTTCTAGTCCTAGTCTTGTGAGGAATCTGCACACTGATTTCTACAGTGCTTGCACTAGTCTGTGCTCCCGCCAACAGTGGAGAAGGGTTCCTTTCTCCCCACAGCCCCTCCAGCATTTGTTATTGGTTGATTTCTTGATGATAGCCATTCTTTCTGGAGTGAGATGGAATCTCAGTGTTGTTTTAATTTGCATTTCTCAAATGACCAGTGACATTAAGCATTTTTTCCTATATGTATTTGCCATTTCTACTTGTTTATTGAGAAGTATCTATTTCAGATGCCCATTTTTGGATTGGGTCTTTAAATTTGGGGGGGGTCTTATGTTTTGAGTTTTTTATATATTCTAGAGGGTAGTCCTTTGTCTGAGCAACAACTGGAAAAAATTTTTTTCCCTCTTTTGCTGGTTTCTCTTGCTGGGCAAAAAATTTTTTTCTCTCTTTTGCTGGTTTCTCTTGCTGGGCAAAAGCTTTTTAATAAGATGAGATCCCAGATTCTTTGTGATAGTTCCTGTGCAATCAGAGTTTTGTTCATAAGGTTTTTACCTACAGCTATATCTTCAAGAGGTCTACCTATTCTATCTTAGGGTTCAATAGCTGGTGAAGAATGACAATGAAATTTAATAAATGTAGTAGCAGTTGAGTAGAAGAGAAACTAAGGTACCAAGGGAAAAAGGAGATAGGGACTAGAACTGGTTGACATATTGGACTATTTATGAAAATGTTCTAGAATTCATTGGTCTAGAATTCTTATTTGACTTCTGGGAAAGGTGCCACGAAGGGACAAAGCAATGCATTGGCAAGGCTGTGTTTTTGCTCCTTGTCCTCTTTGACTCTTTTACTTAGATGTGGGGCAAGTGAGTCATGTGTGCTCTTAGCTGGGCTTCTTCATGGTGACTTTACATTTAAAGACACTTAATAGTTGACGTAAACCTAAGGGGTGGTATTTATTGTGTTGAAGTGTGCTGTTTTATTTCTTGGTTTTTACTGGTGTACACTGATTAACTTTGGCTTTTTTGTAGACCGAGGGAGCCATAGGTTATGCATATTGGGTGTGCACAACGTTGCAAGATAAAAGCAACAGAGAAACGGAGCTGTACCAGTACAACATCCTGCAGATGAACGCGATCCCAGCAGCACAGGTTGTTCTGTGCAAATATGTGGGTAAGGTGCCTTTTACGTAATGGCAAGATTTTTGAATAACTATTGAAATCACTTTAAAAACTTAAAATTAATTCCTTCCAAGTTAAAATTGGTATTCTTTAACACATGACTTTAGTCTGTAAACACTTGCGGAGAAGAAAGTAATTAGTTTACAAGCATGGAATTTTGAGATATTTCCATATTATGCCAAAATGAGTAACTCTGTTAAATACCTAGAGCTAAGGAAATGTTTCTCTTACCAAATGAATAACTTCTGTGAAGGATTTACATGAAGAGCTAAAGTTTTAGTTTTCAGCAAAATTTAGGTAGCTGAAAAAATAAATACATCATTTTATAACAAATATGCATAGCTGGGTTTTTAAACTGTATTGTCGTTCCGTGTCAACTCTATGTGGTTGACTGGAAAAATATACATACATATGAAAAGTTGAAGGAAAAAAGAGAAAAGGTGATGAGAGAGAGAATGCAGACCATTTGTCTGTCCTGCTGATAGAGCATCCTGGCATGTGAAGACAGGGATCTTCAGATCCTCCTGCTGACCCAAGGTTTGTGACTCTTCTTGTATCGTGACCATTGGGATTTCTCAAGAATAACTTTGACTATGTGATTTTCACCATACACTTTGGTGTTAGAACCTAACATCACATGACATATGATTCCATTGTATTTTATTACACAGTTGAGGGGTTCAGAAGCTTGCTCCTCAATACTACTTTCAAGTAGACTAGATTAGATGTAGATTTCTCTTTCTCCAGTGTGTGTTATCTTTTGACAGAAAAATTTCAGAATGCTGCATTGGAAATCCCCATATTGTCTTTTGTTTCTAGTGTATAATACTGAATTATTTTTTCTTAAAGAGAGATACACAGACTGGAACAAGCCACTAAGAGAAATTATTGATAAGTTTAATCCCAGGAAGGCTTAAGCAGCTAGCCAAAAAACTGAATTTTCCTACAAATATGACTAATTTTAACAAGAATTCCAACTTCAAATGTATTATACTTTAGGGATAAAAGGTTTTAAGCTCCAAATCATAACTGGAAACCATATATAACTATTAAATATTATTCAGTAATTAAAATGAACTATAACATGATTACCAGTACATTCATGATAAAAATAGACCATTTTTCTTAAAATGTCAGTGCCCTCAGTAGTTTTTAAGATACTGGTTTTTAAGATAATTTTCAAAAAGTGAAAATTAAAAGTAATATTTTTGTGACCACATCAGTGTGCACATATAAAATAAAGGTACTCTGGATTTGCAGAAAGAATTCAGAATTATGCTCCAGCTTTCACAATGTTGGGTTACTTGAATGAACATCTGCAACTGAAAAAGCAAGCAGCAGATGCGTACCAAAGGTGAGCCACGTTTAATTAAAATGAGGATTTAAATGTAGTCTCATGCTCTTCAAGAAAGCACTAAAGGTTCTGACTCCTTTCCTGATCTTCACTGTATATCACTAGTGTGTTTTACAGTGTGTAGTAATCCCACACTTTCAGCTATTTTTTGGTTTCTGTTGCTGTGAGAGAGTGCTTTTTTCAGACAGGAAATGATGTTATGATGTATTTGCTTGAATCTTTGTCATATCTACTATATATTTATTCACTTCAATAAATATTTCTTATGCTACCGTGTGCTAGACAGTTTCTTTGGCCCTGGTAATCTAGCAGTGAATTAAACAGAAACCTATTTCTCCTGAGCTCATGTTCTGGTGATGCGAGATACTCCCCAAGCTAAAAAACATCTGTGATAATTGCTAGCAAAGGATTAAAGGAGGGTACAGGGCCAGAGAACACAGGGATGGGTTTAACAGGCACGGGCTTACTGCAGAGGAATGAAAGCCACAAGCCATTGAGTCATCCGGGCAGAAGGAGCAGGAAGAGGCGGCACTCCCAAACAGAAGTGGCTTGGGCTACTGAAGACACCTGAGCTAGGGTGGGAGGAGTGCTAGGGTGGGAGGAGTGCTAGGGTGGGAGGAGTGCTAGGGTGGGAGGAGCAGCCTGCAGAGTGGTAGGGAAGGGAGCCCACTTAAAGTTTTATTCTCTGCAAATTAATAGGTAAATGAGGAAAGAACTGTTGATCTCATGGTGAAAAGTTAAAAGACCTGATGCCTCACCTGTAAGGCACTTCATTGCCTCAAATCCAAGTAAATATTTAGAAGGAGCCTCGTCAACTGTACTTCCAAGTCTCCCATATGCTTTGCCCTATGCTTGTATGACTGTCTGTGTAGTTCAGAGGAGTAGTCACTAGGTGGTAGTGGAGGCTGTGTGATCAAGATGTTACTTTGGGGGGTGGTTATGACGCATGGTTTATGAAAAGCCATGTTTTGTTTCCTTCAGTGTTAATAAGCTTACCAATACATAAGCTGTAAATATGGTAAAATGCAAGTGAGCAAGATCTTTGAACAAAGAAAACTAGGCAGTTTTAGAGAGTTTGCTACCTTTTTGTACAGACTTTGGTTATTGCAGATACCGTGAATCTAATAGTGGCTGTACCTTATACATCAAACGGCAACTCCACAGCCTGTTAGGTGTGCGTTATTCTGTTTTGAATGACCATGGTTGCTGATTTCTGTCTCAGACACATATTTGAGACTTAAAACTATGAATTAGGCCTAAACTTAACCAGAAGTAAAACTTTTAGTTTTGTGGTACTGTGATAGGGCCTTGTGCATGCTAGGCAAGTGCTTTATCACTGAGCTACATCATCAGCCATTTTTGTTAGTTTTGAGACAGTCTTTCTAAGTTGCCCAGGCTGGCTTCAAGTGCGCAGCCTTCCTGCCTTAGCCTCCCGTGTCGCTGGGATAACAGGCACGCACCACCATGCCCGGGCAGAAGTAAAGTTTTGAATCTCTATAATACTTATAGGTTTCTCTTCTCTTCTCTTCTCTTCTCTTCTCTTCTCTTCTCTTCTCTTCTCTTCTCTTCTCTTCTCTTCTCTTCTCTTCTCTTTTCTCTCTCTTCTCTTCTTTTCTCTCTCTCTTTTTTTTTTTTTTTTGGTTTATTTTTTGAGACAGGATCTCACTGTGTAGTTCAGGCTGGCTTTGAACCCACTGTGATCCTTCTGCCTCAGCCTCCTGAGTGCTGGGATTACAGACGTAATCCTGAGTGCCAGATTACAGCTCGGCAGGCTTTTCTAACAATTTTTTCATGTAATATCAAGGGATAAAAAGGCTTTCTTAGATATTCCTCTTGGGAAAATCTTTAAACAGAAAAGAAAAAACAAAGACCGTATTAAATGTCCAGTTCTTTTTGGTTGTTTAAAGACATTTACCTGCTTACCCATAAAAAACTGAACGTGAGAAGGAAACACATGCTATCAGGTGTTGGTATATGTATTCTACTCCTCGAGGGACTTTTGATGACCATTGCCTTCCCTGAATTCACAGCCCGTTAGTTTTTCTGGATTATAGGCAAGGGCATATTCAGGCACTCAATTTCCTGCTTTCTGAACTCAAGCTATAGCACACAAATATGTTTAGGAGGTCATCTGTAAACTCAAATACATCAAAATTAATGCCATGGCACAGTCATTTCCCATATTTAGATGAAAAATTTTAGAACATTTAGAACTCAAATGTGATAAATTATTTCACATAAGAGCAAAGAGGTTATTCAAGTTATTCAGGTTATCTTCCTGAAATCTAAAATCTATATTTAAGTGTTTTTAAGGCATATGAATAGGCTGTTATAACTAGCATTAAAGAATTAGTAAAGTTAAATGAAGAAAGCAGAAATCTGTGGATTCAGCTAAAGAGGGAAGAGGGAAACAACGCTCTTGCACATAGATAATTTAAAATACCTTGTCCTTTTCTTAAGGGCAATTTTGTTGTTACAGACTGCAGAAGATCAAGATACTTACAATGTTACCATAAGAAACTATGGCAGATTGTTATGGTAAGTGTATTTTTTTCCTAGAAATCCTGTGATTCTATAGGATTTTTCTGGGAAAGCTGTGGAACTGGTGAGGTGATGACCGGCATTGGAAGAGTAGACCTGTAGGATACGTTATTCCCGCAATATCATCCTCTGTTAATACTTTCCTACACCTATAATGATACCAGGGTGTGTTGATACTTTCCCATACCTACAGCACTATGTAATGGCAGCGTGTCTTGTAGGTAGAATTAGGACTCATGGTTTGTGGCCCAGACAAGATAACATTTGGAAGAGAGGTAATTGCTTTTTCTAATAGTGGAAACCTAGTTAACTGGAAGAGCAATTAGGTTTCTTCTGATTTGCTTATTCTAATAAACTGAGGATGAATGTTGGGCTCTAAGAACTCCTTTGAAACAGTACACAAACATTTGAGGGGATAGAGAGGGAGGTATACATCTTTCCTTGGATTCTTACGGACTTCTGCCTCCAAAAGCATAAAATTAAAAAAAAGCAGGGGGGATTAAAGCCAGTAGTTTTAGAAGATACAACTAAGGTCAGAGAACAGTAATATTATATTAGGGAAAGAAGGATTTTGACTCAAGTTAAGGAGGCATTCCTCAAACTTCCTGCTGCCCCAGATTGAGTGGCCCACTTTGAAGCACATTAAAACTATAGTTCACTGATTTAAGATTAGTGTCTGCATCTTTTAAGGAGCTACAATAATAGACATGTGGTAGCTAGTTCTGTTACAACGTTTATAACTGAATCATGTACTTACAACAGGAAAATTTTACTGTTCTGACCTCTCCTTGTAATTCTTTTCAACTGTTGAATTTAAGAGTTGGTGGTGTTCTGTTAGTTCCAAGACTTGTTAAAGCAGAGGATAGATACTGTAAGAAATTGGGTAGGGTAAAATACGTTTTTTTTAGCGTTGATATTTAATGTAAGAATTTCAGAAGAAAAATTACTACCTCCCATTGAAAGCAAGTTATCTGTTTTCTAACTTGTTTTTATTACATGAAATATATTGGACATGCAGCGTGAGAAGAGAGAATAAATTAATGAATAGTTATTAGTCAGTAGTATTCTTAAAATTCTGTCAGTTTGCTTCAGGGTTTTTTTTTTTTTTTTTTTCACAAAGGAAAAGTTATGGGTAAAGTTGAAGCCATATTCTGCTCTTCCATAGTTCCATTTCTTCCCCCACAAAAGTAAGCAATTTAAGGTAGTCCTGTTTCCTTTATCAAAGCATCAAAATTTGATTTTATAAATTTATTTACCTTTGTAAAACTATTAAAAGCATGTTGTGTTTTTTAGCTCCTACTTATGTCCTTCAAAATTAAAAAGCCTGTATAAAAGATTCCCAGTAACACATTAAAAAAAATTTCAGTTATCTAATGAATACCAGAAATAAGAATCTCAGCAATGCAGTATTTCTATTCAGATGACGGCAGCTGAACTTAATTTCTCTTTATTTTTCAATAAGCAAAATTTCATTATTCTGCTGTTATTAGTGTCAGATATTACAATTTACATTTTCTCCCTATTAAACACAAAAAAGATACATAGTTTTGTCTGTGTATATTTTGCAAATGTGTAAGCCCTTCAGTATGCAGATAAATAGCTTACACAAAAGCCAGGTTTGATTCTAAGCAGTTTATCACCTTTAAGGTTGTAAAAGATGCTAGAATTGCACTCAGAATAATATTTAATGTGTGAAGTTTAAAAGTAGAAGTTTTGTAGAAATGTCAACTTAAAGTTATTCTTAACCACTTGGGTTTTAAGTTAAAGTTTGTTTAAAAAAACAGCGTAATTTAAAAAAAAATCAGTCACTTTCACATGTCATTTGAAAGAAGCAAAATGTGAAGTTAAAATCCTCGGTGCATCCTGTTCATGGCGTGCCTTCTATTTTGTCTTTTCTACATTGTTAACACCAGTAGATTACAGTTTACTGAAATGCCACCATAGAAAAGGAAGTGCAGATAAAGTTATTAAAAGAATCTTTGTGTTATGTCTCTATATCTTGATTATATAAACCAAAAGTATTCATGACATTGAAAGTAAGTCGTATTTTGTTTCTTAGTTCCATTGGAGAATATGATAAAGCCATCCAGGCTTTTAAGTCAACACCCCTTGAAGAGTTAGAAGACATCATAGGTTTCGCGTTGGCTTTATTTATGAAGGGGCAATATACAGAGAGCAGCAAAGGTAGGTATATTGCTTGAAGTTAAGGACACGACTTTTCCAGAGTTGAGCAGCACTTTATGATGAGCTCCATCCAAAAAGATGTAATACTGAGACGGAGTGAGGGTTATAGTACTTATTCAGATGTGAGTAGGAGCCAGGAACCATGCTAGATACTTTTTTTGTGTTACTTCATTTACTACATTATGATGATAAATAGCTCTTAGAGTCTTTACAGAGTTATAGGCCGGGCGTGGTGGCGCACGCCTGTAATCCCAGAACTTGGGAGACTGAGGCAGGAGGATTGTTGTGAGTTCAAGACTAGCCTGGGCTACAAAGTGAGGTCAAGGCCAGCCTGAACTGCACAGGGAGACCCTGTCTCAAAAAAGACAAAACAGAGTTATATAGCCGAGTATTTATTATAGAGATGAGGAAACCGAGGCCTCAGCTCACTTATGACAGCTGCATGAGTTAGCATTTGAAAGCTGGTGCTTACAAGTCTGTGCTGCTTAAGTCAAACTTGCTAATAAATAAAGATCTCAGAAATCATTGGTGAGAGAACATTTTTTTTCAAAAATGTGAACCGAGTAGACTTTTAAATACATAGTATATAGGCCCTGCCCGTGTGTGTGCGCAGATCACTGAAGTATCATCAGCTTGACAGAGTCACCGGCCTGGGAGATGGGGTGATATCTCAGTGCGGGCAAGCCTCCACTTCTGTCTAACCTGGCTCTTAAAGAAAGTGATGCAGACCTCCATGTAGATTCTGGAGGCTGAAGTGGGGATTGGTATACAGTAATCCTAATGATACCCCAGAGTCACCTTGGAATAGTAAACCAAGGTAGATGGTTTTAAATTTTGCATTGTGTCTTCTTAGACAACAAGGGAACAAGAATAAGATAAAAGTTTAGTTATATCTTTTTGAAAAATAAGATTAGGATAGTAAAAATTCCATTTCATGATTCATAATTGCTTTTATATTTTTTTCCATTGTGCTCTAATAGCCTATGAGAGAGCCTTGTCTATTGTTGAATCAGAGCAGGACAAAGCCCATATCTTAACAGCTCTGGCAATAGCAGAATATAAACAAGGAAAAATGGATGTAGCCAAGTCACTGCTATTCAAATGGTATGTATATTGACCTCAACACTTAACAAGACTAGACTCTTACAATTGAGTTAAGCAAGATGAAATGAAGTCTTAAGTTTTTAGGAACTTCAGGGTGAACAAAAGGGACTTGGATTTTCCTGGTTCTGAATTGACAGTCACAGATGGAGCTAGAGTTCGCAGTTTATTTCTTAGCCTTGGACCCGTCCAGCCCTTCAAAATTGTCCTTTGTACAGTATATGTATTTTTAAGAGTGATTGATCACTTGGTCTTTTCACTAAGCTTTTAATAAAACCAGTTGTAACTGGCTTATTGTTTTGCCTTTTGGATTCCCAAAGAAATTATTTTTTTCCTCTCCTTCTTTTTCAAGTTAACCTGATAAAAAAGTTCATGTAAAGGTGAATCTTTAAAAAAATTATACCAATAGAACTTGTATTTGTATACTTACGTTTATTAACTTGTTATTGTAAAGAGTTATTATGGATACTGTAAGTTAGCTATTTACTCCAGAGTTGCTTATGAAAATTCATGATTTTGTACCTGTTTGTCAAAATTCAGTGCAAAACCTTAATTTTTCCCTTTTAAAGAATAGTTCAAACATTTATTAATGGGTATATGATATTTTGTAATGTTATAAATATTTCTGTTGTTCATTAAATTTATAGAGAGATGAAGATGCTTCATTTAAATTACTTTTTTTTTTTAAGATAGGATCTTGCTGTGCAGTTCAGGCTGGCCTTAAGTTCACTATGTAGCCTAGGCTAATCTTGAACTCACAGTGATCCTCCTGTCTCAGCCTCCCAAGTGCTGGGATTACCGGTATGGCACTCCTGGCTAGCCTCTTCATTTAAATTAACAAGGGCTCCTAAATGTTATTGGCTTTCCCTTCTAAGGCAGAATCAGGTTTCACACTTAAAAGAGGGAGAAGATGCTAATTGTTTTTTGTTTTGTTTTGTTTTGTTTTGTTTTTTTGGTTGGTTGGTTTTTTCTTCTGGTACCAGGAATCGAACTCACGACCTTGCGCTTGCCAGGCAGGCTCTTTGCTGCTGAGCTAAATCTCCAGCCCCAGATGCTAATTGTTTACATGCAGATTTTCCTTAAATTATAAAGTATTCACTTGGAGCACAGTGGATATAGATACAACTTGTGTTTATTATATAAAATGCTGGTTTCAATGCCATAGGGCAAATAGGGCAACGCTATATCAGAATGATAAAAATCAGCTCTTTTGTCAGATTTTGAAATTTTTTTATTACGCATACTTTCTAGGATTTTACTGAGACTGAATATTTTATCAAAACTGTTCTAATCATTTATCTGCAACTGAGACCCAGAGAGGCTGATTTGTATTTGTTTCTAAAATGTGAACATATGACCAGAAAAAAAACGTGAGCTGTTGTTGCTGATGAAAGACCACTGGCACTTTGCCTCAATCAGAGAAATTGGTGCCTCTAAAAGCCTAGAAATTTGTTTTTTTATATCTTAAAGTTGGCTTAGTTTAGTGAATCTTTAAATAGCTTTTTGTATTAAATATCTTGTAATAATTATAGACAAAGACTACTGTACAGATGGCCAACAGGCAATTAAAAAATACATTTGCAGCTCTATCTTAAAGGAGCCAACCACCGAAAGCCTCCAAACGCTCTGTGCCCTAGGGTTGGCAATGCAGGACGCTACGCTGTCAAAAGCAGCCCTTAATGAGCTGCTGAAGCGCATCAAACACAAAGACAGTGACTATCCGCGGAGCCTCCTGACTGCGGCCATCTACGCATTGCAAGGCCGCTGTGTGGCTGTGCAGAGACAAGCGTCGAAAGCTGTTCACAGGTAAACTCTGCCAGCTATACTGCGTGCGGCTGTGTGTGGCATTTGGACCTCATTAAGGCTATAAAAGGAGGCAAGCGTATATTTTGGAAACCAATCTTTGGTGTTACGAAATTGTACCTGAGACCTGGCAACTGACTTGACTTGTTATGTTCCTTATAAAGATTTTTTTTTTTTTTTTGGGGTTTTCTCCGGTACCAAGAACCGAACTCACGACCTTGCGCTTGCCAGGCAGGCGCTTTTGCTGCTGAGCTAAATCCCCAGCCCCCTTATAAAGATGTTTAAAAAAATATTGAGTTGATTAATTTGGCCCTTACTCAGTTTGGGTGAAGGCCCCAAATTATTTGGATATAAAAGCCATAATTCCTAAATTTGTAATATTGCACACAGATACGCAACAGGTTGGTGGCTTTAGAAATTTTTGGCCACTTAAATATTTATTACTGTTTTCAAAATTTGGAAAATAGAAAACTGTCATTAGCTGCAGTGGTTATTTTCAGCATGTTATGTATGTAGTTTCTTTCTGTGCCACATTTTTATTAAAAATCCTTACTGATTAGTAATATTTTTAAAAACTCAAATTATCTTAATGTGAAAGTTATTCCTCATGATGCCATTTCTATTAAAGTATATCCTCCTGTTATACAATAGTATTTATTCTATTGTTTTTAATCTCTTTTTGTTTTCTTTAAACACAACATACATTTCCTTACCTTTTCTTGCTTGTCTCAGGGTTTTGTAATCATTGTATTACTGATTTTTTCTATTTTGTGTTTTCATAAGAACTATTAGTGTATATAGAAGATATAAGTCATGTTTTCTGAAATTTAAGAAACTTTCAAGCGTAGAGAAGTAATGTGAATTTTTCGTAGGTGTTAAAAGATTTTAAACTTAAAGAAATGTTGGCTGGTTGTACTTTCTGTCATTAAATTTGCTCCCCTCTAAACTGCTGCTTTTAATGATCTCTGTAGTAACCCAGCTGACCCGGCACTTTGGGCTTTGTTATCCCGAGTTGTTGCTCAGTACTCTCAGCGAAATGCAAAGGTGAGTTATGCTTTAAATTTTGACAAAAAGATGGAAGTGATTTGTGATACAATAAATATAATTTTCAAGTATAGTATTATTTTTCTGAAAGATAATACAGTGAAGGGAGTTTTGACCACCAGATTTTCCATTATTCGTCCAAGTACTAGACTGAATTTCCTCTATGTGCTGACTGGTGTAGTGTTCTGGATGTAGTGGGAGATACAGAGAAGTAGGAGGACCTTTTTGGTCTTTTTGAGACAGGGTGTCGCTTTGGAGTTCAGGCCGGCCTTGAGCTCTCTTTGTAGCCCAGGCTCATCTGGAACTCGCAACGATCCTCCTGCCTCAGCCTCCTGAGTGCTGGGGTTATAGGCATGTACCGTCATGCCCGGCTGGAGGAGTTTTTCAAATGTATTAATGCCTGTGTGATCATGTTTGAAACATAACAAGCCTCAGCTATTGTGTTTTTAAATTGTTAAAGATAATATTATGGAAACGCATCTTAGAGATATGACATTAAGAACTAGAACATGGCTAATGTCCAAAATATAAATATGAAGTCATTTATGTTCTCTGCAAGATTATAATACTGCATTTTAGTTCGTAGTAGCCAGATATTTTCACATATGCAATAACTTCTGTGATTAACATGGCCTTTCATAGATCATGTGACTAGTTGGTAAGCATAATGATGATAGCTAGTATGTTTTGAATACGTCATGTTTAGTAATCCCAGTATCTGAAGTGTTTGTGGCCCAGTGTCTGTTCCCACTGGTTTTCACTTATGGTGGCTTTGTTTGTTATCCTGACTGTGTATTTGAAAATTTTAGTAGGAATAATTGGAGGCCTAGGATTAAGGTACCTTTCTTTAGAAAGAATTTGTAGTTGCTTCTGTCATGTGCTTGGCAGATTTTCCAATTCAGAGCTTCAGGTTTCTGGCTTAACCAGGCTACTATGCACCTGAGTTACCAGGTCATTTGAGACCAGACTTGAGACCAGCTCTTCTAACTTCTACAAGTTAGAAGATAATTCTGATTTCTCCTGAACCTGAGAGAAGACGCCCTGGGAGTCTTAGCCTGTTTTGATGTTTCCTGCAAACTCTCCTCCTTGTGTGGGCCATGGACTGTTACTTTTGTCTCCTAACCCATGAGGCCCTTCAAGAAGAAAATTAAAATCTGTCAGGATCTACAGATGGCAGAAGTGGCTTTTCTTGATCACTTTTATCTCTAGATTCTAGTTTTCCCTTTCAGTTTTGGGCTAAGTTTTTAATAACTTATGAGTTATTCAGTGCTTTCAAGAGTATGTTTTTAAGATATACTTCTCAAACTTTAATCTGCAATTGAAGTGGTCTAGTAATCCCGGTTAAAATGCATATTCTAATTCAGCAGGTATTCTCCATTTCTAACTTCTGTCTTCCAAGGGTACACTGTTGCTTTTAATATAGAGGCAACAATTTGAGTAGCAAAGTTTCTTTTTTTTTTGGTCCTTTTGAGATAGGATCTCGCTATGCGGTTCAGGCTGGCCTTGAACTCACTTTGGTTTTTTTTTTTTTTTTT